GATGGGAGCCCCCACTGCCCCATAGGTCAAGCCCTAGAGGCCCACCCCATATAGGTCAAGGCCCAGGGGTGAGGGAGGGGAGCCCCCTGGCCCCATAGGTCAAGGCCCCAGGGTGAGGCCTTGGAGTCCCCTCCTCGCCCCATAGGTTAAGGCCTGGCAGCCCCCTCGCCCCATAGGTCAAGGCCCAGGGGTGAGGGATGGGAGCCCCAACTGCCCCATAGGTCAAGGCCTAGAGGTCTACCCCATATAGGTCAAAGCTCAGGGGTGAGGGATGGGAGCCACCCCCCCCCCCCCAATAACGAGGGGGAAAAGAGATGACAAATAGTCCTCATCTTTCTAACGGGGGGGTATAGTTGGGGCTAGGTGGACCCCTTACCTGTCCCCACCCTAGGGTAACCAGATAGAAAATGTGAAAAACCGGGACCGGGGCGGGGGGAGGTATAGGCACCCGTATAAGAAAAAGCCCCAAATATTGGGGCTCTCCCTATAAAATTGGGACATCTGGTTATTCTATCCCACCCTCAAAACCAAGTGTGGGCAGTATGCCCCCCTTTCCCTGTGAGCTGCTGCGGGATAAACCCCTCTTGTCATTCCCCTCTTAGTTTTTGTGAAGGGGAAATATATAAATAGCGGCTTTTCTTAAAATTTACCCAGCTAGGGTTGGGGGGAGGGGTGTGTGTGATTATTTAATGCTTTTTTAAAAACTAACGATCCATAGGTTAAATCCATTTAATCACATCAGCTGAAGATTTCCTCCAACCCAGTCCCTTTAACCCACAACAAAAGCCTTTTTAACTATCTCCTCTTTGCAGTTACTCTTGATATTTATCAAACATGTTCTCTCCCTCTTGGTTTGATTTTCTCCCCTCCTCCCCCCATGGGGAATTTTAGCCCCTGTGTTGTAAGCACCCATCTTCCCACCTCATGTGGGTCAGTCCAGGGGTTGGCACTCTTGCTGGGAATGTAGGGGTACTTGCATTTTGGATGGGGTAACTTGCAGGGAGAATTTGAATGATGTGGGGAAGCTGTGTATCTCTTGCAAGCACACAAGCAAACTCCTCTTTCCCAAAGGTGGAGGAGAGACCAAGCCAACCTGCCTTTGAACATGAGCCCCTCCCTTGTTATGGCTACTTTGGATTTGAGGACAGAAGTTCAAACCTGTCCTGAAAATGAATCCCCCATTAGTGACCTAGATTAGGCCCCTTCTTGACTCAAATGAGCTCACCTTCTTTGGAGGTGTGGGGGTCTTCTCTCTCCTAAAAGAAAAGTGGGGAGAGGGGAATTCATGCACTGCGAAAAAAGCTGGCTGGGATCTTTTGAGCACCCACGTTTTGCTTGGTTCCTTCTTTATTTGGGGAAAGGGAAGTCCTTTGAGGGTGGAAGGGAGGGAAGTCTGGATATTCCCTAGACCAACAGAAGAAAAATAAGCCTCTCAAATGTTCTATAGGAAGGATTTCAATGTCAAACTTACCTTGGTCACTAACAGAACTCTTTCCCCCTAAAAAAAACCCCCCAGCCCCTTAGTTTTACTGTCATGTGAGTGAATGTGCTTTGCTGGGAAGTGGGGTACGTGATCCATTTATTACATGTGCAGGCAGACATTGATGTTAGAGAGGAAGAGGCTCTGCTTTTATCACGAAAGAGAAATCGTGATCTTTATTTGAAAGACCGTCCCTCTCTGGCTGGGATGCCATTAGAGGAGCCCAGCTTCCTGAAAGAAATGTACTGGCATTGGAAGCGGGGAGCTTCCCCCGAATTCTTCAGCTAGAGAGAAAACATAATGCTACACTTATTTGCAGTGCTGTAGCCTTGTTGGACCCAGGGTGTGAGACAAGGTGGGGTGAGGTAATATCTGTTATTGGACCAACTTCAGTGGGTGAAAGAGCCAAGCTTTGGAGCTCCATAGACGGGTGGAGCTGGAAGGCTTGTCTCTTTTACCCACAGAAGCTGATCCAGTAACAGATGGGTAAGAGGGAAGATCTTGCCCATGCTCCCTGTCTGGTATTGGCCTTGCTCTCTGTCTGGGAAGTGTGTGGGGCAGGGGGCTGCATTAGGGGATGTTATTACAGGGCAAGGGGATTATTTGTTTGGAGAGACACACTGTTAAGCGTTTTGAGGTTCCCGCCTTGTCTCTGGCAGTGGCAAATTAATCTGGGGGGTGGGGGAAGGAGAGGAGGCAGGCAGTGCACATGCCCAGTTGCTCCCAACCCTTTTTTCTTTCCCTCCCATCTCCCCAGGACGTGGGGGAAGCCCTGCTACTGTAGCAGGGGTCGGGCAGGCACTGCGCATGTGTGTGTTCGTGGTGTTTCCCCTCCCCAGGATGCAAGGGAAGCCCTACTCCCTTGTAAAGGCAGAAGCAGGAGAGAGGTTGTTGCGCATGCCCAGTGTGTTCTCTCCCTTCCCCCTCCTGTCTCACCAGCAGGTGGGGAAGCCCTGCTTGTATAAGGGGCAGAGGCAGCAGAGAACTTGATTAGCATTGTTGCCAGCCACACTTCTCTTTTTGTCTTTTGTCTGGGGCAGACCTGTTTGCAAGGAGAGAGGCAGGGAGCTGGAAAGGGCACAGAGCTGTTGTGGATCCCTAATTAAAATGGTCTGACTAATTAGAAAGCTCCTGACTTTTGCAACCCCCCAAGCATCTGGAATAAGCTGAGCTGTTCTGCTGAAGCAAGCACTGATCTTAAGAAACATTTGTAATCTTCTCTCGCAAGAAACAGCATGTGAAAAACCACTGAAGTCATGACTCCTCCATGCTGCGTGGATTAGGCTGAGTGGCCTGCGTTATAGTGATCAGTTTTATAGAACAGCCAGAGTTTGCTTGGCGCAGAATAAATAAGATGCAGTCCCTGTCCCCAAGAGTTTACAATCTGAACCATGCGGGTGGACCCTTGTGCCCACGTGCAGCTCCATTGAAGGCTGTGAGCATAAGAATCCACCTGTGCTGACCCAGATGCATGACTGAGACTTAAGGTTAAAAAAAAAAAGAGCGAGAAAGACAAGGGGAAAGGGGATTGGCGCAACAAAATGGAGAGTAATTTGAATAATGTTAATGTGGTTACTTAGGCTTGTTATGAAAGGATCTTGGCAGTTTCTGTTTTAGTTACTGTACATTTTTGTTTGCAGTTATGAGCAGAATCTTCCTTACCCCTGGGATCTTGATAGAAACAGCATGTCTCCCATGAGGCTGTTCAGTAAGCAAAACCTTAAACACATGACTGACTTGTTAACATTGCTTCTGCAACTGCGTTTAGCCTCTTCATGATGTTGCATTTTCATTTTTATGGGGGGGCGGGGAAGGGTCCCATGTTCTGGACTGCCATCTGTGCAGGTGGCTGGTGCCAGCTACAATGTTAAAGACGTTGGTAATAGCAGAAGTGTCGGAGACGCCATGAACAGTCGGTCTGGGTTTTGTTTGCTTCCCTTCGACTGACCAGTTAAGCGTGGAAGTGTTTAAAGTATTTGTTGGTCTAGTAGATTTTCTCCTCGTAGAACAGAAGCACGTGCCAGACTGAAAGGTTAGTACAGTGCAGACTATTTTAAACCTCCGAAGACCATCCATGACAAAACTTCAGAAGAATATTCAAAACTGCCTCCAGTCTAAGCCTTTGGGTTGTCATGAGGCATCTATTTAAACTTCCAAACATGCAGGAAAACTGGGGCTTTGGATCTGCAGGTGCTTGGCTTCTCTGAAAATTTGGCCTAAAGTCTCCGCAGATGCCATGATGCAAAGGCCAAACTTGGCCAGTGGGTCTTTGATTTTCCCCGTGGTAATCATGCTCTAACTTGTTTGGATCTTGTGGATAAAGCCAGCTTTCAGTGTTCGACTTGTGGGGAAGGGAGTAAGCAACGGGGAATGGTTTTACTTAAAAACAAGCAATGGAAAATGTTTTGCTCATTCCTTTTGAAGTAAAAGTTGCTTCTGCATTGTCATGGCTTGGTGACTTCTTGTCTTGTATGTTAGGAGCCTTGGAAAGGGTGGGACCCATCCTACAAACACCTTCAGCCTGCTTTGCCAGTAAGGTCTAAGCTTTGCTGTTGCACGCACGTGTAAGTCTATGATCTTTGCCTGAGCTGACGGAATGTGTTGTAACAGTCCCTTTGCTCTGATCAAGCAAGTGATGTTGGTCATTTAGTGGGGATGCAAGCTCAATGCTGCAGTGAGATCACACAGCGCTGTAGTGTAACTTGTGCATTCAGGGGGTTCGTGAACTCTGGGATGAACCCACAACATAAGCCAGATTTATTTACTTGCCCTGTTTTGTTGCTGATTGCAATAATACACTCGCTAATGGACAAGCACCTTTAACACCCTTTCCTTGTCTAAAAGATGCAGCCTCTCAAGTGAGTCTGTTAAAAGGTTGAACATCAACCTTTCAAACATCTTTTTTTCCCTTAAGATACAATTCCAAAGTAATTTTACCCTGGAAATCCCATTTTGCTGATTGAAGAAGGCTCCGTATTTCTCCCCACCCCCCCTTCCATCACATCCTTCTTAGCACAAATTACGTGACTAGGATCTAAGTAGGCAGCAAAGATCCAAAGAGTGGGCTTAGGTTAGCGTACAGGGAAGACTTCTTTTATTGCTAAGTAAATCTTTGGTATGGTCTTTTAACCTGGACAATACTGAACGTTCTGGGCTTGGCAGCTTCCCTCCAGGGAAATTTGACTCCACTTCCAATGGGTTGAATAGCTGTAGCTTGTTTTTGCTGCATTGATGTATTCTTCCCATAGCCATTGTACGGCATCTTGTCATCGTGCCTGTCCTCGCAAAAGAAAAGAAAAAATCCAGACCAAATATTATTAATCCCAACTTTATTAATAAAGATGACAGTTAACTCTGAAAACGTGTCCAGTTTCCCAAGCCAATGCATCAGCTGTGAGAAGCATCTGTAATTACTGCAGTGTATTACATTTAAAATAACTCTTTTATTAGCATGATTCCAATTGCCCTATTTCTAAAGTAGCTGCAGTGTCTAGATTCTGATTGTGTGATGGAGCAGAATATCTTGGTATCTGAATAAATAAATGGAGATATACCTATCTCATAGAGCTGGAAGGGACCCTGAAAGGTCATCGAGTCCAGCCCCCTACCTTCACTAGCAGGACCAAGTACTGATTTTGCCCCAGATCCCTAAGTGGCCCCCTCAAGGATTGAACTCACAACCCTGGGTTTAGCAGGCCAATGCTCAAACCACTGAACTATCCCTCTCCTCTGAGTGATGTGCTAGCCACGTCATTCAGTACCATACCGTATCTCCATCGTTCTCAGATGTGGTAGCGCATCAAATACTCAATTGATTTGAGTAGACGTCCTATGGGAAACAGCTGCTAGAAAACAAGTTTTTCTCCTTTTCTCTATTTCCTGATCCGTTAGGCAGACCAGGAAGTTGTAGGAGTAAAGTCAGTTTAACCTACAGAGGGGTTTGCCTCAGGAAGCAGTTCCTTTTTCTTAAGACAGATGCTTTGATGTAACATGTATCCCGGAAGCTTAGGCTCTGGAGTCCCTGCTGCAGAACTAAAATTCGTGGCCTATCAGTTAAAAGAAAGAGGAGACAGAGAAAACTGGGCGTGATCTGAAATAGTCGGAGCATTTGAAAGGCTTGTGGTTCTAAGCGCTCTGATAAAGATCTTTACATAATTTAAATGGAGTTTAGGTGGCCTTCTTGTCAGATTCTTGTGCTGTTTCTCTTCCCTTTCACAGGTATCTGTGTAAACTGAACACTCCCTCCCCTACCAGCTGTTTGTAACAGAACTTATGCTGTAATGTTGGCTTTTAGCTGTGTACTTGGGAGCAAAACCAAATGGAAACACGATTTCCCCAGCCTTGTAAAAGTCAGAGGCCATCCTTTGAAGCGTTCTCTTGTGTGCCATGCTATTTTAGTTTGTAAGTTGCCAACCAAAGGTCAGAGTGGCGTCTTCTGCGGTTTTATATTATCAGTGATTACAAACATAATGGCTGGGATGTTCAAAGGAGCCTTAAGGAGTTAAGCCCCCAGCTCCTATTGTATTTCAAGGCTGGTTAGGTGTCTTAAATACCTTAGCTCCTTTGAAAATCCCAACCAATCACTTAAATTTAAGCTCTAGAATTCTTGTTCCCACTCTTATTTTTTTAAACCTTCTTAACGTGGGTAAGTTCAGCCCTGTGGAGTGGGGGATTCATTCGCCTTTGTGAGCAGCCCACGGACAGCATTGCAGGATGGATGATGCTGGCTTTTGTTTTCTGAGCTGTGTGCACGTTTGGTGCAGAAAGGGCTGGATTTTTCAGAGGTGCTGAGTACCCACCTCTTCCATAGGCTGCAGCTGGAGACATGTAGGCCCCGTGCTTGAGAAAATCAGGCCCACAACTTTGAATCTGGCTATGCTATGTCAGCTGTAAAGGGTCCGATTTTTAAGAGTCTGGGAACTGGAGAGTCTCTGTTCCTCAAGGAACGTGAGGCTCTGAAAACACTCAGTTGGTCCTTTAGTTGCCGATTGGTTCAGAATAAGTGATCTGGCTAGAAAGCCTGCTTTCTTGCCTTTGGGGGCTGCCAGGAAGTGCTGTGGGGCGCGAATGGTGTTCCTGAGAGCAGGAGTGCTGTGTGGTGATGCCTCGGAGTGGGGGTGAGATGGCGGTGGGCTCTGAAGGGCGTCCCATCTTGACTAGTAGGATGATGGTCACAGTGGTAGGCCTTGCTTTGGGAGAAGAAGGGCTAAAGTGTAGTGGGCTGCCAGAATAAAGGGGGGTGAAGGGAAAAGGTCCCCGACGTTAATGAAGGTTTGAATCCTGTGCAAGGTGTATTTGATTCAACTCTTTGAACAATTGAAATCTTCAGCCTTAAGGAGCTAATATGTACAGTACAGGGTGTTACATCTGCTGTATCCTAATGTCTCTAGCCATCACCTTTCTAATGGCCATTCAGTTTTAGGTTTTTTTTTTTTTTTTTTAAACTGTAGGCCACTTTTATTGGCGTTTATCCTCTCTCAGTACTATGAATGTAACTTGCAAATACCTCTACTGATCGGTAGTTGCTGCAATGCATTTGGTGCTAATCTTCACCAGATTTTGTAAAAGAAAAATCAGTCTAAGAATAAACACTAGGTATAATTGTGGTGCTACACGCCACCATGATAGTGCGTGCAATAAAACACTCCGCGGTTGCCAGGAGCATCTAAATGACCAGTAGCAATACTAACAAACTGTTCGGTTTCATGCCGCCTCCTCTCCCTGTGTGCCGAAGTAATTGCAGAACACTTGCAGTTCCTGTTTCCCTTTCCTGTGTGCTGAGCTGATTGTTTCTTTTTACACCTGGCAGAAACTCGAAGGGTCCAAGTGCAAGGGGCAGCTTCTGATATTTGGAGCAACCAACTGGGACCTGATTGGCCGTAAAGAAGTGCCAAAGCAGCAAGGTAGGAGAAGCTAAGCAATTGATGCGTCTGAGTGGCCCATTGTGGATAAAATGACAGTATTAATGATATGTCTGCACTGCAGTCAGGAGGTGTGATTGCGGCTGGTGTAAGCATAGCTGAGCTGGCTTTGATCTCATGATACGGTCTCGCATGATATTCTTATCGACAAACTAGGCAAATACAATTTAGATGGGGCTACTATAAGGTGGGTGCATAACTGGCTGGATAACCGTACTCAGAGAGTTGTTATTAATGGTTCCCAATCCTGCTGGAAAGGCATAACGAGTGGGGTTCCGCAGGGGTCTGTTTTGGGACCGGCTCTGTTCAATATCTTCATTAACGACGTAGATATTGGTATAGAAAGTACGATTATTAAGTTTGCGGATGATACCAAACTGGGAGGGATTGCAACTGCTTTGGAGGACAGGGTCATAATTCAAAATGATCTGGACAAATTGGAGAAATGGTCTGAGTTAAACAGGATGAAGTTTAACAAAGACAAATGCAAAGTGCTCCACTTAGGAAGAAAAAATCAGTTTCACACATACAGAATGGGAAGAGACTGTCTAGGAAGGAGTACGGCAGAAAGGGATCTAGGGGTTATAGTGGACCACAAGCTAAATATGAGTCAACAGTGTGATGCTGTTGCAAAAAAAGCAAACGTGATTCTGGGATGTATTAACAGGTGTGTTGTGAGCAAGACACGAGAAGTCATTCTTCCGCTCTACTCTGCTCTGGTTAGGCCTCAGCTGGAGTATTGTGTCCAGTTCTGGGCACCGCATTTCAAGAAAGATGTGGAGAAATTGGAAAGGGTCCAGAGAAGAGCAACAAGAATGATTAAAGGTCTTGAGAACATGACCTATGAAGCAAGGCTGAAAGAATTGGGTTTGTTTAGTTTGGAAAAGAGAAGACTGAGAGGGGACATGATAGCAGTTTTCAGGTATCTAAAAGGGTGTCATAAGGAGGAGGGAGAAAACTTGTTCACCTTAGCCTCTGAGGATAGAACAAGAAGCAATGGGCTTAAACTGCAGCAAGGGAGGTCTAGGTTGGACATTAGGAAAAAGTTCCTAACTGTCAGGGTGGTTAAACACTGGAATAAATTGCCTAGGGAGGTTGTGGAATCTCCATCTCTGGAGATATTTAAGAGTAGGTTAGATAAATGTCTATCAGGGATGGTCTAGACAGTATTTGGTCCTGCCATGCGGGCAGGGGACTGGACTCGATGACCTCTCGAGGTCCCTTCCAGTCCTAGAATCTATGAATCTATGAATCTATGAATCTGCAGCATCGCCTCCTGATGGCAGTGTAGACATACCCTTTAGGTGACCAGCCTGATGTCTGTTGCTTGTCTCTTTTTCTACCGTCCCCATACCAAAAACAGTCAGTCACACTCTGAACATCTTTTCCATAGTCAGGACTAACCCCTCTGAAAGGAGGAAGCTGCAGTCTTAAAACTGACATTCTTAGGATAGCCACATGACCTGCAAAGGAATTAAAATTCCAAACCAGTATCCGTGAGAATTGTGGTTTGCAGAAAGGCATTGTCCAAGCTAGAATCTGCCTATCGCCAAACTGTCGGCGTGCAATGAGATCGTTAATCACCAGCAGTAGACGTCATCACAGTGTTGTCTCATCTGAAAGGGGGCGCCATGAGCGGTATATTCCCCCATTGTACCATGCTGCGGGTAGTTGTTCAGTGCCAGCTCAGAGGGAAGCGTGCCGCTGACATCCCTTCCTTGGAGATCTCCTGGTCCGATTTTCGACAAGCTCAACCATGCGGACTCTTAACAAGCGTCTCTGCCGAAGACACAGTGACCACAGCTTAACATCTGTGGGATCTGTGAGGATGGCGGCCTATGGTGTTCCCTCTAATTTTTCCCATCCATGTGTGGAATGAATTTTGTTATGTGCACCAATGTGGAGGTAATTGTGACGTGGTGGGGGTGGGGCCGAGGGGTTCGGCGTGTGGGATGCGGCTCAGGGCTGGGGCAGAGGGTTGGGGTGCAGGGATGTTAGGGCTCCAGCTGGGGTTGCAGGCTCTGGGGTGGGGCCAGGAATGAGGGGTTCAGGGCTGGGGCAGGGGGTTGGGGTGAGGACTCCGGCTGGAGGTGCAGGCTCTGGGGTGGGGCCAGGGATGAGGGGTTTGGGGTGCAGGAGGGTGCTCCAGGGCTACAGCGGAGAGAGAGGACTCCCCCCCAGCTCTCTCTCCCTGTAGCAGCTCCGGGACTGGGGCTGCAGGATAGGTGCTCCTCCCCCGGCCCCGCAGGTCTAGGTCGTGCCTGGGGGAGGGCCAGGCTGGCCGTGCCTGGGGGAGGGGTGCCCCAGCTGTGGCAGGTTGGAGACTTGGCTAGCTTGGGGCTGGGGGAGGCGCGTCTCTCCCCTGGCCACGGCAGGTCCCCGAGCAGGTTCCCTGAGTGCCTGCATGGCACTAAATAGGCTGCTGCGCGGCCGCGCAGCTTACAGGGAACTTAGGCGACCTAGAATATTTCATGGATGCCAAACAGCTTTCACTTTGGCACTTGTTAGAAAGTTAGGACAAAGCTCCTGGAACACAGCTCTGCTTTAATGCACATTCCCACCTTTTGCTTTCCACCGTAGCATGTGGGGCAATGCTGAGTGGAAACTTTTCAAGTCCTAAAAGTTCAAGGGCCGGTCGAGGAGTGAGTGGGGCAGAGGGGGCCTATCTGAGTGGTGCGTCAGTGCCAACTATTCACAGAGAGGTTCGCTTCCCTTTTCTCCAGTCTGTACAATGTGCCTATTCTCAGCCAGCAGCAAGTGGGCCTGATCCTACTATTGCAGTGGTTCTTAACCTTTACTGCAGCCTGCACCTCTTTGGGTCTCAAAATATCTTCTCGCACCCTGTCAAGGCTCCTTCCCCACTCTGAACTTTAGGGTACAGATGTGGGGGCCTGCATGAAAACTTCTAAGCTTAACTACTAGCTTAGATCTGGTCCGCTGCCACCACTCCCAATGTGCTAATTCCCTTCCCTGGGTAGCCTTGAGAGACTCTTCACCAATTCCCTGGTGAATACAGCTCCAAACCCCTTGGATCTTAAAACAAGGAGAAATTAACCATTCCCCCCTCCTCTCTCCCACCAACTCCTGGTGAATCAAGATCCAACCCCCTTGGATCTAAAAAAACAGGGAAAATCAATCAGGTTCTTAAAAAGAAGGCTTTTAATTAAAGAAAAAAGTAAAAATCATCTCTGTAAAATCAGGATGGAAAATAACTTTACAGGGTAATCAAACTTAAAGAGCCCAGAGGACCCCCCTCTAGCCTTAGGTTCAAAGTTACAGCAAACAGAGGTAAACACCCTAGTAAAAGGTACATTTACAAGTTGAGAAAACAAAGATAAAACTAACACGCCTTGCCTGGCTGTTTACTTACAAATTTGAAATACGAGAGACTTGTTCAGAAAGATTTGGAGAGCATGAATTGATGTCTGGTCCCTCTCAGTCCCAAGAGCGAACTCCCCCCAAAAACAAAGAGCACAAACAAAAGCCTTCCCCCCACCAAGATTTGAAAGTATCTTGTCCCCTTATTGGTCCTTTGGGTCAGGTGTCAACCAGGTTACCTGAGCTTCTTAACCCTTTACAGGTAAAAGGATTTTGGAGTCTCTGGCCAGGAGGGATTTTATAGTATTGTACACAGGAAGGCTGTTGCCCTTCCCTTTATAGTTATGACACACCCCTTCTCAAAAATCGTTGAAGTAGGTCAGTTCTTTAAACCTAGATATAGCATAACTATAGAACGAGAGAGAATTTGTTTGTATATTACAGTAATCGTTAAAAAATGTATAAGGTTAATAAATACATAGGTTTGATGAAACAAAATAGTTGTACTTACGTGCCTGTGCTTAATTTGTTTTTTCGATGATTTACCTTCTAAAAAAATCTGGCATGTCTCGCACCCCCAGAAAGGGCATCTCGCACCCCCAGCGGGTGTGTGCACCCCAGGTTACGAACCACTGTACTATTGGATACTGGGATCACTGTATCTTGTAAAACTGTCAGGTGGACAGGCACTCCTACTGACTCCAAAAATTCATATCCATGATCAGTATCTAATCACAGAATCACAGAATATCAGGGTTGGAAGGGACCTCAGGAGGTCATCTAGTCCAACCCCCTGCTCAAAGCAGGATCAATCCCCATACAGATTTTTGTCCCAGATCCCTAAATGGCCCCCTCAAGGATTGAACTCACAACCCTGGGTTTAGCAGGCCAATGCTCAAACCACTGAGCTATCCCTCCCCCCATCTAGCCCGAGAGCTATTTGAAGCCAAATCTACGACATCAGTGCTTTGCTGGGCAGCTCTCTGTTATTGTGGTTAGATGACTTAGAGGGCTCCTGTGGGGCTTCTTGCTTCTTCATGTGAAGTTATTGAATTTTAGGTGTCTGTATTTGCAGCATAGCAGATCCGTGGCCACTTATTTGTGAAACACCGTTTGATTTTTAACAGCCTCTGAATGTTGTCAGTATATAGCTGTGTGTATCGCTTATTGGCATGCCTTAGGAAAGAAGAACAAGTGATGAACAAGAGCTTAAAATATTTCTGGTACTTAGAGTTGTTTTGGGCGTGAAATGATAGGAAGGCAACAAGAGCAAGGTGATTAGACGAAGAAACAGTGGCTGAGGACTTACCCTGGTTTGACCATCTGGGGGGAAACTTGTTTTCTAAAATGTTACAAAAAATAGCTGGCGGGGGGAGGGGGGGAGAAATGTGTGCTTTCCTTAATTATAAAATGTTTAGACTTAATTATGTAACCTTGTCGATATGTGGAAGAGGCCACGCTTTCTATGAAAGACAACGCCAGGGTCCATCTATGTACTGATGGCCTGATTTCCAAAGTTGTTTAGCACTTCTGAATATCAGACCAGGCATTCGTTGAAATAGTCTCTTTAAAGACTTGTGGAATTGGGTTCTCAGTATCACGTGAGACTGAAGGACAAAGACACCTTCTCCACTGACCTTGAGAACTCGTAGCCTGTCTGTTATCAGAGGCTGCCCCCTTGTCTCTACTCAGACAGCTGCTCTTTGTTTGGCCTCTCTCTTAAAGGCAAACTGCACCTATTGTGTTCAGCCCAGGAGTCTAAATGTTCAAAGGAAAAAGCATTTCTTGCTCTGGAAAATGAGGAACTGTGTGGATTTTTTTAAAATCTGTAATTCGTTAGCGTTTCTGAACCTTGTACTGAAGACAGCCACTAGCCTAGGACTTGAGAGACCGGGGTTTGAGTCCCTGCTGTGCCACAGACTACCTGTGACACCTTAGACAAGTCACTTAATCTCTCCGGGCCTCAGTTCTGTGTCTGTACAATGGGGATGAAAGCCCTGCCCTTCCTTATGTGGGGGGGGTGGGGTTGTGAGGATAAATGCATTAAACATTGGGATGCACTCAGATGCTGTGATAACAGGGGCCATAAAGTGCCCCAGAATAGCTAGATCAGAGGTGGGCAAACTACGGCCCGTTGGCCACATTGGGCCTGCAGGACCGTCCTGCTGCTCTGAGCAGAATGGTAAGAGGGCGCGGGGGTTGGATAGGAGATTCTGGGGGGCGGTCGGGGGACAGGGAGGATGGGGCGGAGGTTCTGGGCGGGGGCAGTCAGGAGATGGGTAACAGAGTGTTGGATAGGCGTGGGAGTCCCGGGGGGCCTGTCGGGGCGGAGGTGCAGATAGGGGTCAGGGCAGTCAGGGGACAGGGAGCAGGGGGGAGTTGGATGGGGGTGGGGTCCTGGGGGGTCCCGGGAGGGGGCGGTCAGGGGACAAGGAGCCGGGGGGGAGGTTGGATGGGTTGGGGGTTCTGAGGGGGGCAGTCAGGGGGTAGGAAGTGGGAGGGGGCAGATAGGGGGTGGGGGCCAGGCTGTTTGGGGAGAGACAGGCTTCCCTACCCGGCCCTCCATACAGTTTTGGAACCCCGATGTGGCCCTCAGGCCAAAAAGTTTGCCCACCCCTGAGGTAGATCCTGCTGATGTTCAGTGATGCTGACGGCGTGGAGAGCTGTCTGTGGGTTAGACTTTCCAACAATGGCTTGCCAGACCATGAGAACTCTGCTATTCAAACAAATGACTGATTTTTCTGACTGCTAAACGAACATGAAAATGGGTTTATAGTCTTTGGAGTATGGGGATCTGCAAAGCAAAGGTCACATGACAGCACCTTTCAGCAAGGTGGCTGCCTCCAGTAGGCTCAAAAATGACAATTGTTGCTAATCATTTATAATATTAATAATACCTCGCTTTTATCTCATCCCTGTACCTCACAGTCCTTACAAAGGAGGTCAGGATCATTACCCCCATTTTACAGATGGGGAAACCGAGGCATGGAGAGGGGAACGTGACCTGCCCAATGCCACCCAGCAGGTCAATGGAAGAGTCAGGAATAAGATCTGGGTTCTCCTGAGTCCCAGTCCAGTGTGTCCACAGTGTAACTTCTCCCGCCATTGAGTCCTGGTAACAAGTGATTCTTACCTTTTGGAGTCAGACTGTTGGACTGAGGAAAATCAGCATCACTTTCTGTTGTTGTTTATTTCATGGTAGTGCCTAGTGGATCCAACCAAGATCACAGCCCCATTTTGCTAGGTGCTGTACAGACACCTAGTACGAGACGTCTCTGCCCTGAAGAGCTTACAGTCTAAATGGAGGAGACAGACAAAGGATGGAAAGGGAAATAGGGGCAGAGGGAGATGAAGCAACCCTTGCCCAAAGACACACAGCACATCAGCGGCAGAGCTAGCAATGGAACCCAGATCATCTTAGGTCCTAGCCTAACGCTTCTCCATCTAGACCATGCTGCCTTGGTTATAAATCTTTTGTTATCATTTTGACTACTGTACTGTCTCTAGAGCCTCCAAATTGAGTCCGGTTGAGATGTTCAAAGTCAGTTAGGGCAGGGTTTCTCAATCTGTGTGTCGGGACCCAAAATCGGGTCACCAAAATGCTTCACAGGGTCGCTTGGCAGCTCCTTTGGCTCCTGTCCCATGAGGGTGGCTGGGCTCGCCTCCTTGCTCCAGGCAGCACAGCCCCTGGGGTCCAAGCGCCACTCAGGTTTGGCCCAGCTGTCGTGATGATGGAATCCGGATAGGCCAAATTGGAGTGAGTGGCACTGCAACCCCACGAGCCAGGTCACAACCGGGGCCAAACCTGAGCGGCGCTGCAACTCCAGAGGTTGCAACACCCGGGGCAGAGAGCCAAGTCGAGCCAGCCCCACGGCACAGGAGCCACCACTATGGGGTGAGTGCCAGGCAGGACCCAACCCCCTGTGGGGGCAGGATCTGACAAAAACCACCCCAGGGCCTAGCCCCCCCCCCCCCCCCCGACTATTTACTCGGTTGTGATAGACCATAACCATTTACAAATGGGTCCTGAGCTCAAAAAAGTTGAGAACCCCTAAGTTAGGGGATTTAGGCACACAGCTCCCACCAAATTTAACTGGAGTTGCGTAGTTAAATGCACTAGTTGGCTCTGTGAATTTCGAGTGCAGCAATTAACAGACTTCCTCCATCCCAGCTAGTCAGGACAGTTAGTGCAATTCAGTAGACACTGACAGATGTAAGCCATACCAGAGGGAATTAAAAACCACAGTTACACTGCATTCCAGAGTTGTTAGCAGATACACCCTTTTTCAATGGGGTAAAATAGACCAGTCCTGCTTGATTTCTGTCATCCGAGATAAGCACGTACAAACCACTCCTGTTGTTTCTCCTCTCCACGTTTGTAACACACTGGCCGTTGCTGCATATGTCTAGTTTCACTACCCCAGTGGTAAACGGCATCTTGAAATAGAGACGATTCCTCAAATAATTAAAATGGGGAAAAGTGCTTACCTCCGTAATCTCAGTCATTCAACTTCTTCTTTGCGTTAATCCAGTCTGCTCTGAGTCCTCTTCCTCCAAAGTGCTCTGTTCAGTGGCATATCCTCTATCACGCCACGTGCTAGCCTGTTCCCTTACGGCATCCCACCCCTTTTCTTTGTCGGCCTCTGTCTTTTTTCCTTCAATCTTGATCTGTTGGACTCTAATAGCCACAGGTTATTAGGAATGCACTTTACCTGACCAAACCATCTGAGCTTGCAGTCCCTCATTTTTTCTTTGCTGAGTGTTACTTTTAGCATGTCTCTACCATGCACATTCCTCCCGTGGTCTTTCTTGCTTACACCACTTATCCATCTTAACTTCTTGTGGAACAGATTGTTTGCTCATGTTTCTTCTGTTGCGTAACACTTCGTGCCAGACATTTAAAACTGGATGAACCACCGTTTTTAAGGCTTTCCCTTTAATCTTCCTGTCACATACGACACCACTTATCTCTCTCCATTTGAGCTGTGGTTTATTATCTACCTCTAATTTTGTCCTCCGTTTTCCCATTTTCCCAGAAGCTGGAACCCAGATACTTGAAACTTTGCATTTTTGAGATTGTCTGCCCATCTGGTTTCAAGGATAATTCTTCAGTGTTCATATTATTGAAATCACATACCATATATTCTGTTTTTCCTCTGTTAATTTTGAGCCCCTGTCTCTCAAACATCTCTGTATTCATCAATATCCTCTTCTGTGCAGTGAAGAGAAAGATCGTTTAGAATATCATCCGCAAACAAGGTGAACCAAGGTGCCTCTTTCTGCGGGTATCCAGGACAAGTATAGACAGCAGCAGCAGCATTCAACGTTTGTAGCTAAAACAAACAGACATAATAATTGGTAGCTGCCATTATTGCAAACTGCCAGCCTCTAACTAACTCCTCTGTGGTATTCAGTCCCATTTCACACACAGACTGCAGAGTTTGTGACTAGGAAGCCCAACAACAAACTGCCAAGTTCTGCCGTGCTTTGCACACTTACAATGCTGTCAACTAATGAATTAAGCCTCATAATACCCCTGTGATGTGGTGGAAGTGTTTAAAAAAAAAATACAATGACAAAGCATTTAAAAGTGCATGGAATTGCTTGGAGCCCACTTATTGTAAATCTAAATAATACAGTGTCGTAACTACAGTGCTCTGTGGTGGTAGATCATTGGCAAAGAAGGCTAAAGGCATAAAGGAAGATGGATCGAACAAACAAGATCTAATATGCATAGAGTGGAGTGTGTCCATCAGAACTCCGTTTGTAGGTAGTGCACTTCATCAGTCGGAGGCTCTCATTCCTGATGCTGAATGCCTCAGCTATCATTGAAGTCGGTGGGTGCTGGATACGTCGCAGGATTTAACCCTTTGTTCCTTATGTGTAAAATTGGACAATCTGGAGGTATCCAGCAGGGTGCCGTGAAGCTAAACTCACTGATGTTTGCAAAGCACTTTGAGATCCCCGGATAGAGATGCTGTATTACAGCCCCGTTATACTTATGGGGAAAATTAAGTCATGAAGGATCAATTGACTCCTGAAGTCATTTAGGTCACTCAGTATTTTCAAGCCTCATTTTGTGGTATGGTCAAAGCCACCTAAGTAGGATGCAGGTAATTGGAACAGTGACTTTAATTGGTTCACTGAGGTCCCCCATTCTTTCTCTAGCTCTCTCGCTTTGTCACGGTGCCTGTAATTTCTGGGACTGCTTTGTTGGGTGGCTTTTGGTCTAATTAACCTCTCAATAGAAATCAGCAGTGTTAATATGACTCTGAAAGGTCACAAATCTCCTGCGGTCCTTTCCCTCTTCCTGTCTCATGTTGACCACCAAGAATATCCTGTAGCGTGACAGAACAGTGAGGTGAACGTAAGATGTCAGTGGGCAACTGAAAACTATTTTGGATTTCTGTAATAGCAGTTACATAAAATAGAACCACAAATCAGCTGAATGAGGTGAGTTGCAGGAACTGCGTAGGACAACCTTAATTTTGGATAAACTCTCGGACAAAACTGAATCCACAAACCTGTCCCTATTTAAATGGGTTTTCTGTGTGGACAGTGACTTGTTAGAGATGATTTTAGTGCACTTGCTGCTGACTTCATGTAAGACTTGTCTGTATTCCGCTTTCTCTACAGTGGCTTACCGTAACCTGGGCCAGAACTTGTGGGGGCCTCACAGGTATGGGTGTCTCTCAGGGATTCAGGTACGGACTGTGGTTTCGGGACCATGTGCAGCTCATAGTCTGCTCATCACCACAGAGGGGAAGCTCTGGAGCTGGGGTGAGTAGTAGGCATAAACAGTATGTATCAGTAGCCCTTAGATAATGAATCAAGTAAAGATATGGCTGGCATAAAGGAAGGCAGTGGTCTCTGCCCAGCTCTGAATTGCAGCAGACTCCTAAGATTATCAGCTGTCTGTATCAGAAGTGCTGAAAACTTGGTTCCCTGGCTTTTGCCCTAGTTGAAACAGTTCAGTGGGGGCGGATTAGATCTTTGACAGCTAGTGGGTGACTTGCCCCTTGCTGTATCTTTGTGAATCTCAAGGAGACTAGTTCAGATGCACTATGCACTAGAATGGTGGTTCTCCACCTTTTCCGTATCACGGCTCCCACGCTACAACTGGCAACGCTTGAAGGCAGCCATAAGGAAAGGGAGCATGGTCACGACCCGTTGAGACCTGTTGCTCTCCCCGGGTTAGGAACTTGTACACTAGGCAAGCTCTGCTTGGGAAGGATGGAGGAGTCGATCAAGTTCAAAGGGTGGTTTCTCCTAGTGTGAGGTCTTTCACAACTGAGAAGGAGCACAGTGCAATGAGCAGGAAAAGGGATCTGAGTCTCTGTAGTATGGTGGTCACTGGGTCATGCGTGTTTCTGTGCACGCTTCTCTCTAGGTCGTAACGAGAAAGGGCAGCTGGGGCATGGAGATACCAAGCGCGTGGAGGCTCCCAAACTCATTGAAGTTCTCAGCAACGAGGTGATCGCATCAGCAGCTTGTGGGCGGAACCACACGCTCGCTCTGACAGGTAGGGGAGGCTGCTGGGAAGGAGGAATTGGGCTTGGGCTATCGATCTCCCTACAGGACACTGCAGAATACTGGGGCATACAGGGAACTGGTGCATCAAATACTGATCCTCAGGAAACGCACAATGCACCTGGGAATGAGAGAGAGAACCTCGGGCTAGGTGGTGATGGAGGATGGAGTCTTTCGGTGCTATCCTGGCCCCATTGAAGGTAATGCATGTTTTTGTTTCAATGGGGCTGGGATTTCACCCTTACTCTTTTGCTCCCGAGGCTAACAGAAGCTGATAGGGTCTTGGAAGCAGCACATTCAGCCCCTGGTGGGTAGCGAATGCCTTGGCTTGTGAAGATATGCAAAGGGAGTCCTTGGCAGAGAGCTCTGTTGCAGGGTCTTGTAGTCGAAGGGACCCTAAGGAATATGAAGTTTATTGAAGATGGTCTCAGTCTTACTCCACTTCTGAAACTTCCATCACTGGGCACGAAGGGAAAAAGCGAATTTAGGTTTGTCTGCATGGCGCTGCACTCTGGACTATGGGCGTGTGAATTGTAGAGGGCTCTAAGGGCCCTTTGTAGAGCCTGCTGGCACAAACTAAAAGATAACTAGTGCGCATTAATGTTTCAAATGGGACTACGCTAGTGCCTTTTAGTTCATGCCAGCGGTGTCTCCATGGGGCAGTTAGAGTGAGCCATATGAGAGTGCTCTACGTTTCATACCACTGTATAATGTAAACAAGCCCTTTGTCTTGCTATTTAGGACGTAAGACATGGCCACCTATGCATAGTCCTCTCCAGGAGATGACTGTCTCGATAGCAGTGCTATAAAATGGTGATTATGCTGCCTTGTTGCTAATTTCTCTTACTGCAATACATTCCTTCTCCGGGCTGGTCTGTACTACAAAGTTCTGTCTGCTTAACTACATTGCTCAAGGCTGAGAGAAATTTCACGCCCTGTGTGATGTAATGAAGCCAACTTTAGCCCTGGTGTAGATGCGGCTAGGTCAACAGAGTTCTTCCGTCAGCCTCGCTACTGCCTCAGAGAGGTGGATTTGCTACAGTGACCGAAGAGCCCCTTCCGTCGCTGGCGTCAGTGTGTGTGCTGCTGTAGCCTTCCTAGTGGAGACATACCCTGAGATTCTGGATGGCTTAAAGCTTGTCTATGTGGGGGCCTGGCCTTCACTTAAAAGTTAGGCTGACATGGGTCAGGGCTGTGAAAAATCCATACCCATGTCCAGAATTTGGTGACCCGACCCCCACAGTAGATGCAGCTGTGTTGATGGAAGAATGTTTCTGTAGATGTGTTTGGGGAGGTTGTGTTCCTACACTGATGGGGGGGAAAACCTATTGTGGCAGCGTAGGCTGTGTCTACACTATAGGGTTAGGGCAGCACTATGCTACAGAAGCACCCGGGAAAGTTAATCCAAATTAACTAAAACTGTGAATTTAAAGTGGATTTGTTAAACTGCATTAAACTGCTGTGTGGAGGCTCTTATTCAAAATTAAAGTGGCCTTAGAAGGGAATTAAGATAAACCAAATTAAGGCCATGTTAATTCCAAATAAGAGTGTCCACCCGGGTTTAATACGATTTAGCTAATCCACATTAAAATTCACACCTTTAATGAATTTCAAATAACTTTCTTGAGTGTCCCTCTGTAGACAACTCTAATGTTTAAGTTATAGCACTTGGGGCAATATGCTTTAATTTAGCATGGTGCATTGCCATGATCATCTCAAGTCTGTATTAATGGTTTTCCAGCAACTCTGCATTAACATGGAGGTTTAAACTTCTCCCTTCACTGCCCCACCTCCTCCTTCCCCCTGCATTTGTTTCCCTCTTGTTCCAGAGAGTGGCTCTGTATTTGCATTTGGAGAGAATAAGATGGGACAGCTTGGTCTCGGCAATCAGACGGATGCAGTTCCGAGTCCCACTCAGGTACTTCTAATGCTCTTCTTTGGGTTTCCTCTGTCCGTCAACGGGTTCCTTAATTTCTCACGTCCTGGCTACTGCACTGGTGACCATTTTGGGGCCATATCAGTCCTTAAAACCAAATTGCTTGGACGTGGTTCCAATAAGAGGAGTGAAGGGTGGGGGGAGACATGGAATCTTCATCCAGAAAAAAAATTTCTGCTGTATATTTTCTTCTGTTTGTTATTTACTGACTTGGAAAATAAATAGCATCACATCGTGTATTTTGTCTAGTTGCTGGACAAGTGGAAAAGCCCTATCCAAACTGAAGATTATACAATATTACCTGAGTCAGTTTAAATCTGATGTCAGACGTATAGCTGGCCAATATGGATGGTCCAAACAGTTTTAAAGCCTCTCTACGTAGTCTAGAACATACATTTTAAAGCCAGAAGAGGCCGGTGTGATCATCTAGATCTGGGTGGGCAAACGTTTTGTCCCGAGGGCCACATCTGGGAATAGAAATTGTATGGTGGGCCATGAATGGTCACAAAATTGGGGTTGGGGTACGGGAGGGGGTGAGTGCTCTGGCTGGGGGTGTGGACTCCGGGGTGGAGCCAGAAATGAGGAGTTCAGGGTGTGGGAGGGGGCTCCGGGCTGGGGCAGAGGGTTAGGGTTGGGGTTGGGAAGGGGTGCAGGCTCCAGCTATGGGTGCAGGCTCTGGGGTGGGGCTGGGGATGAGGGGTTTGGGGTGCAGGAGGGTGCTCCAGGCTGGGATTGAGGGGTTTGGAGGCCGGGAGGGGGATCAGGGCTGGGGCAGGGGTTGGGGCGTGGGGAGAGGCTCAAGGTGCAGGCTCTGAGTGCTGCTTACCTCAAGCAGCTCCTGGAAGCAGGGGCATGTCCCTTCTCCAGCTCCTACGCGGAAGCGCGGCCAGGCGGCTCTGCACACTGCCCCGTCTGCAGGCAGCGCCCCTGGAGCTCCCAGTGGAGCGGGGCCATTGGAGTGCATAGGAGCCGAGCAGGGGCCGTAGTTTGCCCCACCCCTGATCTAGATCCTCCCGTAACTTTTAAGCGTGGTTTTAAAGTGTTGTTTTCCCCTCAATGGCCAGGCAATCCAGTGTTCAAACAGCTCCGCTATTAGATTGGTCCCTGGTGTGGCTGGGGGCTGAAAGCATCCCATGTGAGTTTTTGGACCACCATAAGTTGAATTTTTGGTAGACAGGCTCTCAATTTTTCATATCACAAAGTCAAAACAATGGTCAGACTGGTTGCCTGTGGAGGAGATTACCTGTTTCTTAGCCATCCCACTCTTGTCTTGGAAAACAAAATGGATCAGAGAGGAGAGTTTTCACACCTTGGACTGGAGATTAAACCGAGCCCGCCGCTGCCTTATAATCACTGGGATCCATTCTCTTATGGGTCTGGGCTGAAGACGCAAGAGCCAAAGGGTGGCAAAATATTGCCCCAGTGCATGAAGTAAGTGAAGAGAACGTCTAGCTGAGGGCAGAGTGGAAGTTTAGCCGAGGAGCTGTCCTAAGAAACGCTTACAGTCTGTCTACACAGGAGCTGGCGGTGCAGTTTCCAGCTCGAGTAGATATAACCTACTCTAACTGTGATGGAGCTGGTGTGCTAAAATACAAGTGTAGCCCCCGTGGTGCAACCTAGCCACCTGAGAACGTACCTAGCAGCTCAGATGGGATTGTACTCGAGGCAGCTAGCCTCTCCCACCAGCTGGCCGCACGTCTGGTTTTAGCATGCTGGCTTGATCAGCGCTAGCGTGGGATGTCTCCTCAAGCCAGAACTTACACCCCCCAGCTCCAATGTAGACACACCCTCAGTTCCTATTTTCTCCTTCTCCCTTCATATTTTTGTGGGTTACTTAGTGAATTGACCATTTCCCAAACCCCCTTTTCCCCAATATTGGGGCAGTTATTTAAACAACAGGCCAGGTTTCTTCGGTTAGGTTTGCACAATTTTGCATGTAAATTAGTACCCACTGAACATAGCCACTTGGTGGATGCAAACGTACTGCTTAACTGTACATGCAAATCCCTGATTTGCCTAGGTAATTTGGGCCTGGTATTTGCACACGTGTCGGAAAACAACTGTGCGCTCCTTGAAAGCCTAGCCATATATTTGCTCTGGGAGTCTGGCAGTGCTCACTGGCAGCCTAGAAGGGGCACTTGGGTCACTCTGTTTCATCTGTTGCCAAATGCTACTGTTGTCTCCTTCCTTTGTAGATAATGTACAATGGCCAACCTATTACCAAAATGGCCTGTGGGGCTGAATTCAGCATGATAATGGACTGCAAAGGAAACCTCTATTCCTTTGGGTGCCCTGAATATGGACAGCTGGGTATGATGGTTTATTTTTTAAAGGACTATCTAGTTTTAATGACAGCGGACTTCAAATCCAGCCTGAGACAGCCACCAAGCTTTTTGTAGACTGGCATATTGGTATAATCTAAACAATAATGGGGGGGCACATCTTATCTCAGTCCCCTTCCAGAGGGGATGGTGGCCTTGTGTTTAAAGCCTATGATCTGGCTTCTCTTCTCTCTGCTCTGTTTGTATGACATTGGTCAATATGCCTCTCCTTTCTATGCCTCAGTTTCCCCAGGTATACAGTGAGTGCTTCTAGACTGCCTCACATGTGGGTGGTGAGGCTTAATTTGCCAATATTCGTAAAGTGCTTTTGAGATCTTCTGATTGAAAGGGAGAGAGAAGTGTGAGGCGGCGGTGTTACAATCAAACAAAAGCTGTTGCCCCTGGAGTGTCCATAACACCCCCGCCCCCCATTTGGAATGCTAGACTGTGTAGCCTGTCAGTGCCGCAGAAATGACAATCTGCCACTGTGCATCCAGGCAGCGTGTTCAATTATGCATGAGCTGTACTTTATCTGGTTAATGTCTAGTAGCTGTGATCTACAGAGCAGGGAGTGCGCATGCTTTCCTGCGGGAGAAGCTTTGATGCAGCCCCGGGGTGCCTCTTCTCGGAGGGTGGTGAGGATTTCCTGAGCAGGTTGGAAGGGTCTCGGAGAGTATGTCTGCACTGCAAGAAAAGACCCCTGCCTGGCCCAGGTTAGCTGACTCCAGCTTCCGGGGTTATAAAATTGCAGTGTAGACACTCAGGCTGGAGGGTGGGGGAAAGTCTCAGAGACCGGGCTCCAGCCCGGGCCCAAATGTCTACACTACAATGTTTAGCCCCATGAGCCCAAGTCAGTTGACCTTGGCTCAGGGACTTGGTGCCGTGGGTTTTTTATCGCAGAATAGACATACCGTGACGTGCCGGAGGTGCCGTTTCCTGACAAAATGGGGAATGACATTAAATTGCCTGTAGGGGAAATCAGGTGGAAATTCTTTATAAATGGGAAAAGTTCCAGGAGTAGCTGCAAAGAATTCCTCCTCCTTTGCCCTTAATGAGAGGGGAAGCTCTTTGGGGAGGATCTGTCTCTTTGTTCTGTGTTTGTACTGTGCCTAGCCCAGTGGGGGCCCGGGCCACACTAGGACTCCTAGGTGCTACTGCAGTACTCATAATAATGGCTGTGTGTAGTTAGAAGTATTCCACGCCGCCCTCTTCAGCAGGAATATAAGGTTAGCACAGAAACCGTTACCCTGATGCGTGTAGTAATTTAGAGTGGTGCTCCTTATCCCATGGGTCATGGGATATCTGTTCAAGAGAGTTCCTGCTGAGTTACTGGGTGGCGTGGGCCAGGGTAGCCGGCCACGCAGAGTTCCTTTTCACATCTCCGTCTGCCCTACAACAGGACACAATTCCGATGGGAAGTTCATCGCCCGTGCTCAGAGGATAGAGTACGACTGTGAGCTGGTGCCCCGTCGCGTTGCCATCTTCATCGAAAAGACAAAAGATGGGCAGATCCTTCCTGTCCCTAACGTGGTCGTGCGAGATGTGGCCTGCGGTGCTAACCACACGGTAAGGCGGGGATTTCACCTGGCAGTCTGAAGCACTGCCCGCAGCAGTGCTCCGCAAAGAAACCAATTCCCTATCTAGCATTGCTCAGCGGCAGTCATTGGGATTCTGCTGGGGGCTGACAGAAATTGATTTGATGAGTCCCCCTCAATTTGCTGTACGTTCCACATGCAGTTAATTCACTCCTGGTGACTGGCAGTTACGTCGTCTCTTTACAAATGACTTTGATTCGTGCTGGATTCTCAGTAATAGTGACAGAGCTGCACTGAACAGATCTGTTCCAGTGCCAAGAATTTTCAGAGTTCCAGGAGTTTTGGATTCGGAATCTTGGTTTGTCCCATCTCTAGCCAGAAGTTATACTAGACCTAGTTGAAAACTTTCCCGCATGTTTATCCTCTAAGGCGTTAAAGCCTTCGGTGCTCTCTCTTCGCTTCTTTCCATCAGCTATAACTAAGGGTATACCGACGCTTGGGCCAGGGGTCTGATTCCCGGCTTGAGGAGACATACTCACGCTAGCTGTGATTGAGCTGGTGCATTAAAAATAGTGTCGCTGCAGCAGTGTGGGCGGCGGGGCAGCTGGCTGCCCTGAGTAATGTGCCTGTGGTCTCGGATCGGCACATACTCAGGGGTGCTAGCGCATTCTTCTGCTTGTCCTGCTGCAGCTACGCTCTGCTTTTGGCGTGCTAGCTAGGAGCTGGGGGGGGGAGAGTCCAAGTGCAGACGTACCCCGAAAGTATGTTGATTCCAGCCTTAAGGCTGTAATCCCGTGTCTGTGGACCATTTGCAAGATTTTAACCCATGGTGTAAAGGTTTGATCACAACTTTGTCTCGGTGCATGTTGAAACTTCTCTAGGGACAGTTGGAGTCAGACACCTTTTCTCAGAATAGGTAATTCACGCAGTGGAAGGTCGGGAAATGTGCTGTCCGCTGACACAAATCTGTAATACAGGCCGTCATTTGCACAAACCTTCTGTTTCTCCCTGCCCTGCTTAGGTTTTGAGTCCAGTCTTGGCGTAATCAGATTACGACTTTAGTTTGCGTGGGAGGTGTCCTAATCCAATTTGAGTAGTTTGATCCCTTAACATTTAGGGGTTTGAAATGTGTAATAATAGATTAAAAATAAACCCCCTCCAAACCTGAAAATCCACTCGGTAATAGCTTGCTGAGAGACAGACAGGCTTGTTAAGCAAATAATGGAGGGAAAGATGAATGTGTACCCACAGGATACCTGAAGTATAAATGGCTTTTCCAGTTAAGCAAATAATGGAGGGAAAGGTACATGTGTACCCACAGGATGCCTGAAGTATAAATGTCTTTTCCAGTTATTGTTACTGAGATGTTTTATCTGACTGAAGCTGCCATGTGACTTAACTCCTCTAGTACTGGAGGCCACATCATGGGTGGCAGCTAATTTCTAATTGTTGTGTAAATGCACCAGGCAAAGTCTTGGTATTTTATTGCCCATTGTTGAGTAGCTCTGTGTAGAGCAGCACAAAAGCTCTGAGCGGGAATCCTGGGGGAGGTGGCGGGGTCCTCATCTTGTTTGCTCTTTCTCCAGTTTAATCAATATCGGAGTATGAAATTGACAGAATTACCCAGCTGTCTAGACACCTAGCCCTTTTTGCTTCTGGCTTTATTACTGGAGGAGAGGAGTGGGAAGACATGTGACTTAACAACAATTAAGATAAGAGTGGAAAAATGGAATAGTTGGCAGAGACAATAGTGGAATGTCCTTGTATTACGTGCATCATCTCAATGGTTGCAGCCCCTGCAGCATAGAATTTGCCATAGATTATCTTTAAGCCTCTGACACAGCTGCATTTGGTCGTCTGCCAAGATCTGTAGAGCAGAACCAATAATCCATTCTGCAAATAGCTGCATGGTGGGGAGACGTCTTCCTGTGTCTAAACCCAAGTCCATGTCACCATCTGTCCCTTTGCAGCTTGTTTTAGACTCCCAGAAGCGTGTGTTCTCCTGGGGCTTTGGTGGGTACGGCCGGCTGGGCCATGCCGAGCAGAAGGACGAGATGGTGCCACGGCTGGTCAAGCTCTTTGACTTCCCGGGCCGTGGGGCGGCTCAGATCTATGCCGGCTACACCTGCTCCTTTGCTGTCAGCGAAACAGGTCAGTTGCCCCGTCTTTCTTTGCAGATGGGTCTTGGCACAAAGCCATCATTCTGCACAACGTCTGTTTTGTGAGAGCCACGCTCCAATAGACAGCCTTTGTCTCCATTCAGAGAGAGCTCACTTATGAATCCTCCCAGTATCTTTAAAATAAACCCTGGAGTGATCGACCAGCATGTGTTACATCGTCTCTGCAGATCCTTTTCATAGCGTCCGTGCATGTGCGTTTCAAACGGATTTCTGTATCCGAGAATATCTCAGAGCCTGATGTTGGTTTGTTTGCTCTGTTTTGCAGGTGGTCTGTTTTTCTGGGGAGCCACAAACACCTCCCGTGAGTCAACCATGTACCCCAAAGCAGTGCAGGACCTCTGTGGCTGGAAAATCCGCAGCTTGGCCTGTGGGTAAGTGACCGCTTTTGCTCCCAGAACTGGGGAGGTGGGAACCGTTGCCCACAGCTTGCCTAAATGATGTCGTAGAAGTAGTGCTGTTAGCTGGCAGATCCAAATACAGAAGGGACTGATAGTAGGAGCAGTGAATCTGGCCCCATGAAATGGCTCCTACTGACTAGTTATATTTACATACACCGAGATCTGATTCGATTATCCAGGCCTGGGGTCCAGCTCTGCTTGGTGGATCCAGGCAGTGGTGTTGAGTTGGTTTGCTTTTTGACCCTGTGGTAGGGGGAAAGCTTCTGGATACATAGGGTGGGTATTCTTAATAGCACTAGAGAAGGGAGGGAGGCCTGAGTCCTGGTTAAAGCAAGGGCGGAGGGAAATGGCCCATGATAAATGACTGTCTGGGTGCAAATCTCTCCTCCTAGAAAGGTTTGTTGCCTTGTCCTGTGCTGGGAGGGAGCAAACATCTTTGTTTAGATTCATGATGGAGAGTGGAGAATCCATCATGGGATGTCTGATCTTCCAGTTCCCGCTGTGGGGTTGGGATGATGGGTTTCGTGGTGAGGTTGCGTGATTTGCTGCAGTCAGCTGGGCGTGGGGGAGAAACTGTCGAATCTTTAAAAGAGACCAGGTGGGTGAGGTAGTGTCTTTTATTGGGCCATCTTCTGTTGGTGAGAGAGACCAGCTGTGGAGCTTACACAGAGCTTGTCTCTCTCACCAACAGAAGTTGGCTCTATAAAGATATGAGCTCCCCACCTGGTCTCTCTAATATCCTGGGACAGCTCCAACGCTGCATACAAATCTTTAAAACCTCTTTAATGATCACTTGATTTGATCAGAGTATTCTAAAATCTCAACCATTCTCCAGCACTGATTGTAGCACTCCACTGTGTGTGTGTGGTGGGGAGGGGGTGCTATTCAGTGTTTCTAGGTTGCTTAGAGGATGCTTCTGCTTGTATTAATGGGAGATTTGTGAACAGCTTGAGCCTTTGGCTAGAGGTCCATGAGAAATAGAATAATTTCATCTCCTCCTCACTTTTTTAAAACCTTCTTTCTCCAGGAATCCTTCCTCCTTGGTCTCCTATCCTCTTCACCCTCTCCCTTATCTGGCCTGTTGTCTCATGCCACACCTATCTTTGTCTTGTCTCTCTTTGACTGCAAGCTCTTCAGAGTGGGGAACTTCAGGATCTGTTTGAAAAGTCCCCCCGTAAATCAACTGTAACTAATTTTACTATGCTGCAATGAAGAAACCTAACACATGACCTCCAAGGGCTCTGCAAACTTGTAGAGTAAATCTTTACACTAGGACTTAAAGATTTCTTTCCTCACTCTCTCGACCCAGGCATTCCCCTGCATGTTCTGTCGCTAAAAAGCAAGCAACTTCTGATACGTGGGCATTCATTCAAATGAACATTGATCTCTGACTTGCCTGATTGCCGTTTGAGTAGGAGCATTGTATTAGTGGACATGGGAAGGGAATCCCTTTAAGACCTAATGTTTGTTCAACCTCTCCTTGATTTTCTGTTAAAGGTTTTTATCTTGAGTATGTTACAGGGCTTCTCTCGACAAATTTATTGGTGGCCTCAGAGTGCGGCCACCAACTCTTGCTGGTGGCGGCTCTGACAAACCTGGCTCTCTATCCCTGCCTCCCGTGCCCTTCAGTGAGAGCCCGGCCCAGGGAAGGCGGGTCAGGAACTCTCTCATGCCCTAGCCAGGTGGGAGCCGGGGAGCTGCCCTGGGGACTGAATGCCCTGGCAAGAGCCACCTCCAGCGCTGTGCACACCGGCCCCATACATCTCGAGAGGCGCTGCCCAGAGCCTCTGAGGAGGCTGCGTGGTGCAGGGTGCCGATCCCCGCTAGCAGTGCCAGCGCAAACGCCAAGGCAGCGCTTCTCGCTGCCCCTGGTTACAGCTATTCAGGAGCAATAGCTGGGCGCTGCAGGGGGGGGCGCTGCTTTGCCCCCGATCTCTGCCAATGCTTTGGAGCCACACAAAAATCCGCTGGTGGCCGCATTTGAGAAATGCTGCTTTAGGGAATGAATGATTATGGGGATCCATTTAGGGGCGGGCCTCTGACTTCAGTGAGGCTCCACAAGGATCCACCCACCCACCCAGGCAGCAGGATCATGCCTTGCAGCACTTTGGGAAGCAGCTGGACCAGGGTTTGCCCCTGAGCAAGAAAGCATCCAAAAATACTTGGGGAAATTCTCTTGTGGTACCAAGCAGCCAGTTGGCACGGGAAATGTAACTAGCTGGTGGGGCTGCTGGGGGCGGGCGTGAAGGCAGATCGTGTAGCAGTAACAGCCTGTGTACCTGTTTCAGGAAGAGCAGTATTATAGTGGCTGCAGATGAGAGCACAATCAGCTGGGGCCCATCTCCGACCTTCGGTGAACTGGTAAGAAGGCAGCTGGGGACTGGCACAGAAACCCTAGCCAGGCTGGTCCGGTACCAGAGAAGATAAGATTGCAAGCAAAGAGATGGGTGAAAAACAGCTTTGCAAGCGGACTGTTGTAACCCTGTGATCGCGAAATTAGTGGGGTGTTATATTTTTAAATGATCACTGTCCTGCTTCATTTAGTTACTGAAGGGAATTTTTTTTCCCGTTGCACGTGTTGAAAGGTTCGCTTGGAAGATGCAATGATAGGTAATTTACACAGAGATGAAGTGTTACACAGAAACGCACCTTTCTACTCACTCCTACACACACAACTACGCCGAGTTTTCTCCCAGAGAAAATGACCAAAATATTCCTAAGTGAATTTTTCTGGAAACAGGGAGCTTGTATCGGAGGGAAGGGGAGGAGAGGGTGGATGCATGGATGCACTTAACTCATAAACCGAAGTGAGTTCTGTATTTTGGTGAGAACTGGCTTCCCACATAGCTGGAAACATTCAGTGTTGCCTTGTGCCTAACAACCTCTACAAGGCAATTGGCTTCACCCTAATGCACCTTCTTGTGTCTAATTATCGAATGTTTTATCTCACCACAAGTGTAACAGCTCTTCCATCTCCTTCCTTAAGAGCTATTCGAGTGCTGGGGTAATGTGACATAACTATCTAATATGCCCCATTTTCCCAGGGAAATCATAGCTTTAGTTGAGGACATCCATACATTTTTATGATGATCTCAAACTATTTTGATATGACACACTGAATTATACAGTCCCAGTCTGTCTCCCCAGATTACTAAAGTATTTGACTACTTCTGCTATGCCGGGGTGGCCAAATTGAAGCTCGTGAGCCACCTGCGGCTCTTTTACCATTAAAGTGCGGCTCACGGAGCCCCCATGTTCTTCACCTGCTAGACTGGGAGCGGGGGAAGCTCAGGACCTCTGCCTTGTGGAAGGGGCTTCTGCCCAGTGGGGAGGGGGGGATCTTGGGCTTTCAGCCCTGCGGGGTGCACCTGCCAGAACTCGGGGCTTCAGCAAGAATCCCGGCTCCCGGCAGCTGTGCCGCCGCTCACAAACTTCTGACGAGTGTCGTATGTGGCTCGTGCTATACCTTTGTATGGTGACTTATATCTGCCTCCTTGGTTCTAATTCTCAGTGTCCCGAGTGATTGGGGTGGAGCTGGAGCTAGCGCTAGCCTGCTTGTGGCTCTGGATTTCTCTGTGCCTGCATTTCAGTGTTTTGAATTTTCAGTGGTTTTCAAGGTTCAGTCACCGTATTGGCTTTTTTGTTTCATACTGATTTAGATACTCTGATCTTTTTTTTTTCTTCTTTCCCTTGACCTATCAATTAGCTGCCTTACCAAAGTCCCATTGCTCGTCACATTTGACTGTTACTCTTAGAAGTTTGGAAAACGAAGTTTCTTTGGCCTGCCTACCCCTCTTCCAAATGAAGCTGAAGATAGCCTGTTGGTGAGGTGTCCTTTCCCTTCCTCATGCCCCAGCATCAGTGCCCCACACACATGCTGGCAGTCCCGCTTTGGGGATAACATTTTGTTTTCCTCTGCGGAACCATTTTTGTAGGACCAACAAAAAACCCAAGGATTTTATAAAATACAAACTAGAAGCCAGAGCCTTTTTCCTCTCGGTCTTCGGGAAATCTTTTTTGTAATTGCTAGTTCTTCCTGTGTCTCTGCTGCCCTTGCAGGCAGTTAAACCTTCCCAGGAAAGCCGCTGACCCTCTGTACCTTTGGTTATTCCATGGGGCTACTTCAGAAGCCACTGCAAGCCAAGGGAATAGGTTAAATAGCACAATCTTGGACAATGGTTAGATGGTGGTTTACCCTCTGATCTTACAAGTTCCCTTCTGCATTTCTCTTCACAGGGCTATGGAGACCATAAACCCAAGTCCTCTACTGCAGCCCAAGAGGTGAAAACACTAGATGGAATTTATCCAGAGCAGGTGAGAGCAGACCCAGCAAATAAAAATGCAAACCGTTAGCACAGCAGGCTGGATTGCACTCATTTCACATCTCATGCTTCCAAAAATCATCGCCCTATTCATAATCCCATTCCTCATAATAGTCTGTCTTGATGCTTTAAAGCGTGGCAGCCAGATCCCTGTTTATCCTCAGGATACTGGGTAATGGGATTGTCGTATGCAAAATACACCAGCAATTGGAGACTGAGAGAAGCGTGGGGGAGCCTGTTTTCCATAGGTAATGGAAAGGCATCTGCACCATTGCTGCTCTCAGAGAGGACTGCACAAGTAGAAACCTGGCTCAGACAGATTGTTTCTGGGGTGGGTATGTGCCATGCGTATGCACATCAAGTGGGGAGGAGGGTTGTGAAATGGAGTAAAATCCCCCTAGGTGTAGGGTAGATGCTAATCCTGTTAATGTTCATTAATCCGTTCATCTTTAATCAGCATAGAAATTGACCGGACTCCCTACCCTCTCCCTTATGGGGATGCCTGAGCAGGGAGATGGTGTCCATCAGACGTGTTGCCGTGGCGCCCAGGATAGATGCAATGAATGTGGTGTGTCTGCAAACCTCTCATGAGGAGTTAGAGGAGCGTAGGGATGGGGCGTAGTTTAAATCAAGACTGGATGTTGTTCTAAACGAGATGCTCTAGGAACTATTTTGGGGAAGGTGGTCAGACTAGATGATCACAATGGTCTCTTCAGGCTTTGGCATCTATGAATTGTGCGCTCTGCTAGTCCTTGCACTCTGTTCCTCCGAAGGTGAGTTGTAAGAAGCCATTGATCGTAAAAAGACTTGTGATTTCCCTAGCTCTTACATAGCGCTTTTCATCAGTAGAACTCCGTGTGCCTTACAGTCTGGTCAGTATCATCACCTCCGTTTTATACCTGGGGAAACTGAGGCACAGTCAGACGGCAGAGCCGGGAATAGAACCCAGGTCTCCTGAGTCGCAGGCCAGTGCTCTACCCACTAGACCTCCCGACGCAGCAGTTTGTTAGCAATGAAATCCAGTATAACCTTTAGGGTGGCAAATGCTTTGTTCTGTCTACTCAGGTGGCGATGGGCTATGCCCATTCTTTGGTGATAGCCAGGGACGAAAGCGAAGTGGAGAAAGAGAAGCTAAAGAAGCTGCCCGAATACAACCCGCGCACCCTCTGATAAGGCCAGGGCCCCCGCGCCCCTGCCATGGCAGCTGTCCTTTCCAATGTGCACTGGGACCGAAAGAGATTGCAGACCGGCATCGAGACCTGACCGAAGCTTGTTGTTAGACTTTCCGAGGTTCAATTTTATAAGCGATTCGCAGTTTTAACTACCTGTTACTGTATCATTTCCAAAGTGTTCGGTTCTTTTAAACATTTGACATTTGCTCCTGGCTCACGAGCTCCCATTCCGATGAAAATGGCAGGACCTTTTGGCATATAAACCCCACGTACTTTGTTTGGTGAGCAGCGGAACAGCCGCTGACGCGTAAGAATGGCCACATGGCGCTTGTTGCATTGAATTGAGGAGAATCCCAGCTGTCATTAAGAGCTTGGGGGAAGATTTGGAGAGGCACAAATGGCACGTGAGCACCCAATTCCCATTGCCTTTCAATGGAAGTTTAGACCCCTAATAACCCTGTGTGCCTCTGAAAATCTACCCTGAGAGTCTATGGGGCCATCTCTTTGGTGAAGTCAACTGCTGAGATCTCTCTCCAGAAGCAAATTTACATTCTCATCTCTCTAGTTTTAATGTGCTGGTCCCTGTTCTGGGTGAGGAGCGCCCCAAGGAGCGGGTATCCAGCTGTGTAACCTCTTGGTAGATTAAGCTGCAGGACTCTGGCTGCCACCTATTTCATGGCTGTTTCATAAGCATTGACCTTTTTGTGTGATTTTAAATTGTTTCCATTCAGATTAAAAACCTCCATCGAGACAAAATCTAGGTCAACGCGTTCAAATAGCCCCTGGTGCCTCGGTAGATGGGTACCCCAAAATCTGACACACTTTGGGGCTCATTTTTCAGCAGAACGAGCACTCACAGCTCCAGTTGAAAACAGGATCTGCAGGTGCTCACCCACTCTGAAAAATGAGGCCCTAGGTGTATGTCAAGTCGGGCATAAAAACTTGCGGTCACTTATGAAAAGGCTGGCACAAACGGTGCTCCTGAGCGTTCATTGTAAATGAGGTTGATTCTAAATGAGGTTGATTCCAAGGGTAGTTGTGTTTGTGTGAGGTTTTCATCGCAATTTGCCCAGCTGACGTTTTCTTTGAGAGTCTGAAATCTTCAGAGATGGGCCTAAATGAAAACCCAGGATCCAAACACCGCTGAATTTGTTGGGGATGGGAGGGTTCGATCAGAACGTTGTAGCCCAGGCCTCTCCCTTTGGTCGGTGAGATATGGACCTTGATCAAACTAGTCTTATTTGCCTGCTTAATACATACTATATATAAGAAGTCCCACTGCAGTCAGTGGGCTGCGCTGAGCGCATAGCTGAGCATGTGCGTAAGTCTTTGGAGGATCAGGGCCTCAGACAGTAGGAGGGTTGGAATTAGTCAGAAAACAACCCCTCAACACTGACATTTCAATAAATGTCTTTTCCCCTAAAAACTTGCGGTTTTTGACCAGATCCCTGCAGGCATTCGCTTGGGGATCCTTTGTCTTCCTGCCCTTGGAAATTACTGCCTCCTGCTGACCCGCAAACCCTGTCTATACAGTCACATCCGATTCCTCCAAACTGGGTGTTGGAGCAGGTGCTGGGCCAGACTCTGCTGGTGAAAATGGGCAGCAGTTCCACCAGCAGGGACTTGGCCCTCGACTTGACTCTTGCGCAGCTGTTGAACCAAATTGGTTTTACTGGCGGAGAGATGCAAAGAGCTCCCAGCCCTGGACGGTTCGGAGGTTTATTATTTTTCGATTGCGATCAGATACCCGCCAAACGTTTCTTCCGTTCCAGTACTCTGCTCTGTGCTGGAGAAACAAAGGTGCCTTTTAACAGAGTGCTCTGCTCTGTCTCCACACAAACATGAGCGTGGCTTTTCCTTTCTCGTTACCCTAGCAAGTTGCACTGTTCTCTAGAGGCAACGTTTGCTGGCATCCTGTTACACTGCAGTTCTGGAATTCTTGCAGTACTTGCTGCAAAAAAATTTTTTTTATTGTGTTAGAGTAAAAAATTCCTCGAACATGGAGAGCAGCTGGGTGGAGAAGTTCTGCAATTGAGTCTTTGCTGTGCTAGTTTAATAACGTCAGTCAGCCTTTCCTGTTTACAGTATTGAGTAAAGCCAGTGGCCTCAATCTTAACTATCTTCCCCCCTCCTCTGGCCAGGTATCTCGGGCCCATTTGAAAACCCATTGAATTTAATAGGAGTTTTTTCTATTGACTTCTGTGATTCCCTAGACTTTGGATCAGGTGGATTTCCAGAAAAGTGGGATTTCCCTTGTCAAACCACAGGTGTAGCCATCTGCAGCGTCTGCACCTGGTTAATTCTGCATGGAGCAGCATTGAGTGTTTAATGAAACTGAACTGAACTCCTGTTCAACCAGGTGCCTACGTGTGCCGTTGTTGTTATAAATCACCTTCAAGCAGTACGGCCGCAATTTTTCCAAAAGATCCGACTAATTTTGAGTGTCTGTTTATGGGAGGCTAATTTTAGCCACCTGGAATTTCTTTTGCTTTGTTTTTTTCTCCGCAGATGCACTAGGCACCCGGAGCTCCCATTTGAAATCAATTGTTGTCATGGGCACTCAGTGCCTCTGCCAATGGGCCCCCCAGTGTCTTAAATTGAACCCCTTAAATTAGTCAGCCTGAAAGTAAGAGAGAATTGTCCTGAGAATTGAAATCCAGGCCAGAGGTTCTGCTACAATCAAACTCACCTGAGCCTTTTCACCCAAAACCTTTTCACCGAGCTACAGCTGCGGCCTGTCTGTGTCTCTTCTCTCTGTAATGCTTGACTCCAGAACAAAAATCTCCCTTCAGGCTGTGTCCTTGGCTCGCACACTAGCCCATTAACAGATGCAGGACGTGGGCAGACAGAGGTTTGACTTGCCCGTGACCTGTTCCCAAGACATTGGGCTGCAGCACTGGAAATCTTCACTCTTACTGACCCTTTCTGGGGTTGGGGATTTGCATGCCAGAGGGCCGTGTGCTAACAGTTGCCGACTCTCCATCTGACCTAGGATTAAGCTGAGTTTCAGCTATAATTTTTCCTTAGATTTTTTTTTTTTTTTTTAAGTAATCCATTTATTCTCAAACTAGAAAAATTCTCCAGGAAGATGGTTTTGAGAAAACGGCAAAATCTATCATTCACCTTCACCCCAAAATTTTTCAAACCAAAAGGGGCTGAACCTCCCCAGGTAGGCAGAGTCCTGCCTGTGGTAGTTAGAAATTAAACATTATTCACGCTCCTCATTAACTTCTCCCCCAGCTGCCTTCTTCTTGCTCTTACCTTGGGAGAGTGAAGGAGAGTCTGAGAAAAAGGATCTTGGAGCAGTTTTTGATTTAGACGAGATGAAAGGTTCCTGGGTTAGTGCTGTATTTGTATTTTCATGTTTTTTTATATTTCTTGGAGTAAATGTTTAAATAAACAACGTCATTGTGTACACCCTTTGGTTTACAGGCCTCTGTTGATAGCCTGGAAGTGAGCACGCTCCCCTCAGTGAATTTACTTGTGAAAAAGGTGCCATGCTGACAGGAAACCCTTCAAAGTTAATCTTCCTTGCTTGCACCCCTCTCTTGACTTAGAGCAGTGGCTCTCAAACTTGTTTGATCACGGCCCCCCCCCTTCTTTGTGGCTGTGTTTGTGTAGGCCCCTCCCTCTCCTGCCACACAAGTACATACACCGTTCTATGTGCACAGCGTCATCTGAGGAGCTGGTTGTCTGTAGGAATCAGCTTTGCTAGTTATTCACTGCTGTGGGTAAAATGTGTGCAGTAAGGGGTCCCCCACCCCCCGCCAAGCTTCTCACACCCCCTTGGAATACATTCTGTACCCCCCACCCTGAGAGGGGCTCACCTGCTAGTTTGAGAACCTTTGACCTAGAGGAACCACTTCCAATCAGAGCTCGGTCTCCTTGGCCCAATCAATCCCTGGCCTCTGCTGAAACTAACAAGGGTGCCAACCGCCAAAATGTTTGCGTTATTCCTGCTCTCTAGAAACTCAGCTGTGACCACCAACTTGTTCCACCTAGGCCACCAAACTGCAGTTCGATCAGGCCTTTTCGTTCACTGCTGACCGTAGCCTGACTTTTGGCATGGCAACGTAGTAGCTTTTAATGGCTTGGGCCGTTTTGTGCCTTCTTCCTGCTGGATTAGCACAGTATTTCATTGGCACGGAATAGTTAAACATCGGACCAATGTCTTTGCGCTTTACTAGCACTTCTTGCACTGCTGCTCGTGCGCCAAACGGCGTCTGTAGAGGGCAGGGAAAGCAATGCCTGGGTTGTAGAAGTGCTTAGGGGCCCCCATCATGGACAGGGCCCCATGGTGCTAGGCGCTGTATAAACAGAACAAAAAGGCAAATCCCAAAGAGCTGACAGTCCTAAGCCTCTTGGGCTTCCCGTCATTGTGATGTAAAAAGGTTCTGCGTTACAGGGTGATCAATCCGGCAGGCTTATGGGAGTTTTCTGTTCTCCCTGCTCTCAACCCCTCTTCTTAGTTCAGCTGCAGCTTGATAGAGGTCTCTCTTAAAAAGATGGTTTGTCTAGTCGGAGCTGGGAGAGGGTTGTGATCCTACATCTGAGCAGGGAATTTCAAGAGCAATACTCAGACTTCACCTGCCCTGCTCGGTGCCTCCCTTCTTGAAGTGCAGTTGCTCTCTGAGAAGTGACCCCAGAAGTGGCAGGGCAAGGTTCCACAGTTGCATCCCCCACAGCAGCTGGCTCAGTTTACAAGTAAAAACCATGGGGGAGAAGGTTTTCCTAGTTGCCACTGCTGCAAACTCCTCCAGGGTTCTGAGGTGTAAGCTGGGTTCTTTCCTCCCCCTGAACAGTGACCTACAGTTCTGTTGATGGTAGCATAGAGTCTAGGTCCCTCTCCCAGGGCTGCCCTGGCTCTGCAGGGGTAACGATTAAAAAGCCGTGTCGCTGTGCTTTGGGCACGATAGTCATTGTACCTCTGCTGAGTCATGCTTGGAATAGCATCTGCTGAGTAAGAAGTGGCCATGGAGTATTGCCAGCTGTTCCCACCATCACAGCACTTGAAGATTTCTTCCCTGATGTCTTAAATTGATGCCTCAAGCACTGTATTACCACCCAAACTGCTCCTTTCATGATAGTTCTTTCCTTACTTTATTCCCTCACCCTTTCTCTTCAGCTCCCCAGAACGAATGACTTGTTCCAGTCGGCACATAGGGTGGACGGTGAGAGGAGACTGCCCTCTTACATAGAGAAACCAAGGGGTTAAAAAAAAAAACGGTGCACCTCTAAAACCAAAGGCCTCTAGGAACCCTTAGGAGCAATACCGAAAATCTGCTTGGTACAGAAGTCTCTTGGGGGCCGTTACCGCTTGCAGTCCGCTCAATAGAACGGGTTTATTAGATCAGAAAGTCTCTCGTCTCTAGGATCCTGTGTTCTTACTGCTTCACCCAATTAAACATGCTAAAGCACTTCAGTATTAAGACTCTAGGTTAGAAAACTGGTTAAATTGTCAAGACAATATGAGTTAACCCTTTCACCGCCTCTCCCCTGGTACTCTGTGGGATTATGAACCGTAGAGGGTTGTTAGCCATGTCTTGTAATTTCCTAATCTCAAAAAGAGGCTTAATATACAAAATATATCGGGAATATAAACTCCCATGCTCCAGCCCCTAACTACCAGGGGCAAGGAAGGAATTTCCCCCTTGCATAGGTTCTGTTTTAGTTGCCCACTGCAGGGTGTCATGCTCTTCCTGTGACCCATTTAATACTGACCAGTAGGGTTGCCAGCTTTCTAATCACAAAACCGAACACCCTTGTCCTGCCCCTGCCCTGCTCCCGAGGCCCAACCCCTTCTGAGGACCTACCCTCCACTCACTCCATCTGCGCCCCCCCCCCCGTTGCTCGCTCTCCCCCACCCTCACTTGCAGGGGGTTGGGGTGCGGGCTCTGTGGTGGAGCCAGAAATGAGGTTCTGGGAGTGGGCTCAGGGCAGGGGTGGGAGGTTGGGGTATGGGCTCTGGCTGGGGGTGCAAGCTCTGGGGTGGGGCTGGGGATGAGGGGTTGGGGTGCACGAGGGGGCTCAGGGCTGGGGCAGGGGGTTGGGGTTCAGGCTCTGTGGTGGAGTCAGAAATGAAGTTCTGGGAGTGGGCTCAGGGCTGGGGTGGGAGGTTGGGGTATGGGAGGGGGTATGGGCTCTGGCTGGGGGTGTAAGCTCTGGGGTGGGGATGAGGGGTTGGGGTGCGGGAGGGGGCTCGGCTGGGGCAGGGGGTTGGGGTGCAGGCTCTGGGTGGGAGTTAGGGTGTAGGAGGGGGTTCTGGCCAGGGTGTAGGTGGGGGTTCAGGCTCCAGTCAGGCGGCGCTTACCTCGGGCGCTTGGCGGCGCAGCAGGGCTAAGGCAGGCTCCCAGAGCCAGCCGGTACCTTTGCCTCCTAGGCCGGTACCTTTGCCTCCATGCTACCCATGTCCGCAGGCACCGCCCCTGCAGCTCCTATTGGCCACGGTTCCCGGCCAATGGGAGCTGTGTGGTGGGGGCAGCTTGGGGAGCCTCCCTATCGCACCTGCGCCTAGCGGCCACAGGGACATGCCAACTGCTTCTGGGAGCCACGCAGAGTCAGGGCAGGCAGGGAGCCGGCCTTAGCCCCGCTGCGGTGCTGACCGGAGCCGCCAGGGTCCCTTTTCAACCAGGCGTCCCGGTTGAAAACTGGTCGCCTGGCAACCCTACCGGCCAGTGTCCCAGACAGAACCGGGGACTATATGGATCCCGGGTCTGACCCATCTTGGCAGCTCCTATGATCGTGTTCCTACAGCACGGGAAGTGTGCTAGGCCTTCTGTGAACCAGTCCGGCACGGTTCCAGCCCAAAGAGCTGATTTTAGAGATGGGCAGTAGCAACAGCCAAGACTGAGAGAGGATGAAGGTTACCAGAACATTATGTGGCTACGTAAACTGGGTGTGCACATGTTGGAGCATGTCTCTGTGTGTATGTGGGGGGGAGGGGGCTTTGGGTTGTGGATCTAAGGCATGGGAGGAGAGGCTGGGTTGGGGGAGGTGAGGGATGGGCAATGTGAAGGTGGTGGTTTCCAGCAGCATGAATGTAGGTAGTGGGGTGAGCCAAGGCGGGGAGGTAAAATCAGCCGAGGAGCAGTGGAATGGATTAAAGCAAATGGCAGGTGGGTCCCTAGTGTTGGCCCCAGGCTGCAGTCAAGTGGCTGGATCCCTCAGTGAAGGGAAAAAGTGAGCGGCAATGCAAATGCTCCTCTGATCCCCGGCAGCAGCTGTATCAGGGGTGTGGGGCAGGGGGATGCCATCGCACACCCAGTAATGCATATCCAGCCACTTTGGTCCAGTGGCAGACAGGGATGGAGAGCAGCCAGTCGCGGAGTGGGGCAGGCGGCTGCTCCTGAAGGGCTGTTGTAGGAGGTGTCCGTGGAGGAGGGCGGGTGATGGGAGCAGGGGCGGCTCTATGTATTTTGCTGCCCCAAGCCCGGCAGTCAGGTGGCTTTCAGTGGCGTGCCTGCGGGAGGTCCGCTGGTAACGCGGATTCGGCGACATGCCTGCGGGAGGTCCGCCGGTCCCGCGGCTTCAGCGTACCCGCTACCGAAGCCGCGGGACCGGCGGACCTCCCACAGGCATGCCGCCGAACGCAGCCTGACTGCCACCCTCACAGCGACCGGCAGGCCACCCCCCGCGGCTTGCCGCCCCAGGCACGCGCTTGGTGCGCTGGTGCCTGGAGCCATCCCTGGATGGGAGCGGGAGCAGATTTCCAGATTGACGCAGAGAGGGGGGGCAGGCGTGCTAGTTCCTGGCTGCAGTGGGACGTCGCCAATATTCTGGGCATTCTGCCTTTCTAGGGCTGGACTGTTCTGCTGCCCCTAACGACCAGGAGGAATAAGGAATCCGGACATAATCCCCAATTTGCATCTTCTGCTTTAACCAAAGGACAAAAGTCCATGCTGGATCAGCCAGTAGAGGGCAGTAGCACCTCACCAAGAACATCCTAGCACAGTCTACTGGTGGATCGGTTCTCTTCCAAGCCATGTGAAGTTGGTAAGCCAGGAATGCAATAGGCCCAGTTCTCTTCTCCCACGGCTGTAAGTCAGGATGGACCCTACTGGAAATCAAAGGAGCTGAATCTGTGTGAAAACCGACAGAGAAGCAATGGGCCCAATGCACTTACTCTTTAGATCTGCACCGGGGTATAGAAGAAGACGCTTTTGGAAGAGTTTATCCAAAGTGGATCTTGCACTGCCGTTCGGACTGCGACGGCGTTGGATAGCTCTTAAATTAAATAGCTCGTTCGGACGCACGCTGGCTCACAAACAGCTGTGTGAGAAAAATGCTGCATGTTTAATTCTGCCCTTTCTTCTCCTCCACTGAGATCTTTTAAAAAACTGATTGTACCCTAGGTTCCCTCATAGTCTTTACCTCAACCTGCACCACAGGTGAAAGCTACCAACTGCTTTGTCTTCACTAGGATATTGTATCTTAATAACAGTCATGTTGTGTCCGACCAATGGCCCATGTAGCCCAGTATCCTGTCTCTGACCCAGACCTTCGGGGGCAGTGTATAGAACAAACGGGGCAATTTTGGAAAGATCCACCACTGTCCTCCTCTCCCATCTTCTGGCAGTCAGAAGCTAAGGGGCATCCTTGACCACTTGCCTAGTCCGCATTGCTGGACCTTTCCTAGTGGCGTCGTGATATTTTTCTTATTTTCTATCCCTTTCCTAATCGTGAATCCTAACATTCTGTTCGCGTTTTGATGGCTGCTGTGCATTGCGCTGAGGTTTTCAGAGAACTAGCCACAGTGACTAAGATTTCTTTCTTGAATGGTAACAGATAATTAAGTGATCACGTTAGCCACCGCAGGGTAAGAACACACATGTTGTTTTGCCCTCGCAAAGAGATTTTACAAGGAGCTTAAGGGTATGACTACAGAATACACTACGCCCAGACTCTGACTCAGTATCTATTGCCCTGCCATAAGAAGAGTTCACTTTGTATGTAAAACCTATATGCCCCGTGCATCTGTGAACTCTCAGACTTCACATAACACAGCATGCTGGTCAACTTCCAGTTGGTCAGAACTTTATTATCCAGTCAGGTGTTTTCTCCAAACTCAGGCCGTCTGGCCATTGATGTGCTCTGTGAGAAATATTACCGTGCCTGGTCTGAAAGTTGAATGGTTGGAGTGGAAGTGATGAAAAGTTACTTTTCACCCTCCAAACGGAAAAAGCTACAGCCCTGCAGGCTGCTTGCCTTCTTGTAAGACAATAAGGTGTGGTTGTGAGGAGGCCCCTGTGCTTAAGTACTCAAAGAACTTCTTTAAAGCAGTGGCTCTCAACTTTTCCAGACGACTGTACCCCTTTCCGGAGTCTGATTTGTCTTGTCTACCCCAAGTTTCACCTCACTTAACTAGTTGCTTACAAAATCAGGCCTAAAATGCAAGTGTCACAGCACACTACTACTGAAAAAATTGCTGACTTGCTCATTTTTACCCTATAATTCTAAAATAAATCAACTGGAATATAAATATTGTACTTACATTTCAGTGTATAGCATAAAGAGCAGTATGAACAAGTCATTGTATGACATTTTAGTTTGTACCGACTTCGCTAGTGCTTTTTATGTAGCCTGTTGTAAAATTAGGCAAATAGCTAGATGAGTTGATGTACCCCCGGAAGACTTTTGCGTATCCCCAGGGATCCACATACCCCTGGTTGAGAACCACTGCCTTAAATGACAAACCAACCAAAAAACAAACAAACCATCTTACATAGAAAATTGCAGCTCCCCCAGTGAATGCGTAGAGGAGCGAGCTCGAGAAGACCGGTTCAGATTTCGCTACTCTCCCTAACTTGTAGCTTTTGCTTTCTGTAGCAGAAGTGGGGCCCATACTTAAAGCTGGAGTTGGCTTTTTTCAACAAAATATGTAGTTTCATCAGCGCTGAACCGGGGAGGAGGGAGAGAAGACCCTGTAGCCCGGCGGTTAGGGAACGGGCTTGGAATGTGGGAGACCCCGGTTTACACCCTGAATCAGAGTGAGCTGAGATTAAACCAGTCTGCTTCGAATGAGGCCGAACAGAAACTTGTCTTCTGCATCCCAGCTCAATGCCCTCCCCACTGCCTGCCTGCCTGCCTTCAAAATCTTGAAAGTTGCCGTGCGAGGGAATTGTCATCCTCCAGTCAGCTGTAGTTAAGGCTCAGAACTGGGACACTAGACTATTCTGTTCCTGGCTCTGCTACAGTCTTCCTATGTGACCTTGGCCATGTCACTTAACCGCTCTGTGCCTCAGTTTCCCCATCTGTAAAATGGGGCTGATAATACTTCTCTACCGCACAGATGAGGATAAATACATGGTGATTGGGGGCCTTATAGGTACCTAGGTAGCTATAATAAATTAGGTGACACACACATTTTTAAGGTCCTATATTTGATGAGCGGCAAGAAACAGTGGTGGGGATTACAGTCCCAGCAAACTGTCCGACTCGTGCGGCAGAGGAGGGGATGGGGTAGCTAGCGATTTCACATGCAGGTTAGTAAGGGGTTTTTTTAGAAAGTATTGTTTTTATTGACGTTACAAATTCAGTGGTGGGTGAAGTGAACCCCAGGAAACTGTAGGTCACATTCAGCTTTAGTTCCCTCCTCTTGAAAAAAGCAGTGAGCTTTATTTCACCCCCTCTGCTCAGGGGATCATGTTCCACCACTTGAAGGAGAAGGGTTTCCTGCGGACGTTGGTGCCGCAATGGACCTCCCCTAATAGGGTGTGGTAGGTGAAAAAGTCATTGATGAAGGTGCAAGTCAGGCCCAGCGGCTCCAGCAGCGAGCGAACGTTCTCTTCCAGGCAGCACTGCCCGTTGACGAGCGGCCCAAACGGCTTCGGGATGCCCAGGTGTTTCCCCAAGACGATCATGTTCACCTGCAGCCAGGAGAGGAAGGACAGGATGGGAGCACTGAATATACTAACAACAGCCAGACGCATTCCTTTAAGGATTTCACTGCAGTGTCTTCTGCATAACTCCAGTGTGATGCCAAGAAAGAGATTGCATAGCCCAGTGTGGGGGATACAGTGAGGACTCAGCCTAGAAACTACAGAGTGCAGATGGACGCCCGGCACAAAACTCAGCTGCAGATCCAGATTCCAGACACCCCAAAGTTTGGCATAAACCCCTCTGCTACTGAGATTTTTTTTTAACAAGGCGTCGTAAATTGACTTCTTGTTATACTGACCCTGGCAGGCAGTGCACTGATGAGTCCCACCCAGAATTTGAGGGTTGCTGAATATTTCTGAGCTGAGGATGTCTACGTCGGGCCAAAGCTTAATGCTGAAATTCTCATAGGCACTAGCTCCCTCTCCTGTTTGTGACTGGGAGAACACTTCCCTTCCCATGCGTACTTGTGTACGGCAGGAGAGAGGGTCCATGCCACCGCCCAACATCCCCATGGCACCTAGAGCAATTGCCCTCCTGGACAAGGACAATAGGGAAATCAAGGCAGCTGAGCTGTTCCTAAATACAATCTAGCAGCTGGAAATGGGAAGGAGCCAGAAACATGGGATCAGTGTTCCATTCTATGCATCCGATGAAGTGGGCTGGAGCCCACGAAAGCTTATGCTCAAATAAATGTGTTAGTCTCTAAGGTGCCACAAGTCCTCCTGTTCTGAGTGTAATTTCTACAGTTCCTAACTGATGGATAAAAGAGTTTTGAGTCACATGGCCTTGCCTGAGCCAACTGGATTGTGTTTAGCCATCAAGTAGCAGAGATGGTCTCCATTCTTATAGAAAATATTGTACAGTTAATGGAAAGCGACTCCCACGGGTATCCCTGGCCTTGCTGCAACCAGGGTTAGCTAGTCTCTACTGAGGTCTCCTTGGCTATGCCTACGCTGCAATAAAAACCCGTAGCGCCGAGTCTCAGAGCCTGGGTCAGCTGACTCGGGCTGCAGGGCTAAAACTAGCCGTGTAGATGTTTGGGCTTGGGCAGGAGCCTGGGCTCTGAGACTCTCCCGCCTCGCAGGGGTTCAAGCCCAAATGTCTACACTGCTATTTTATAGCCCGGTAGCCTGAACCACGTATGCCCAAGTCCGCTGACCCAGGTCAGCCACGGCCCTGCCTCGGCTCTCATTGCAGCGTAAATGTACCTTCCGGGTGTGACTGTGCTAGAGCTGGAGGTGGAATTTCCAGCTTGCGGAGACGTACCCACTCTAGCGCTGATAGAGCTAGTGCACTAAAAATAGAAGCGTCGCTGAAATCCAAGGCACGTGTTCGGGGTGGCTGCCCCGTCCTGCTTCTATTTTTAGCAGGCTGGCTCGATCAGAACTAGCGTGGGTACCTCCTTCTAGCTCCAGCGTGGACATCCCCAGCGTGGCAGAAGAGAATGATTTTGCTGCTCTGCATAGACAGGAGGCAACGCTTCTCAGGCAAACTCTAATGCACCGTTTCAGGATCCACTTTTATTTTCAGCTGTTTTTCATTATGAATCACCGATTATCATGGCGGTGCCTGGGGGCTAAGAGCAGGACCCCACTGTGTCTGAACACAGCCCCTACTCTGATGCACTCCTGACAAAGGGCCCGACCTGAAGTCAATGGGAAGGTTCCCGGTGACTTTAAATGAGCTTTGGCGTGGGCCCAGAAGACGGCCGGGCACCTAAACGAGGCAGCGTTGTCTAGTGGAAAAAGCAACTATACTGGGACTCAGGAGACCTGGCTTCTATTCCCAGTTCCACCCCTCGCTTGCTTGGTGACCCTGAGCAAGTCTCTTCCCTACTCTGTGTCTTCCTTTTCCCCATCTGTAAAGTGGGTGTAATGATACTGGCCTCCTTTGTAAAGTGCTTTGCGATCTCCTGATGAAACGCGCTAGGTATTGTTAATTAAAGCACCATTGCCAACCCTAAGATGAGTCAGCACACGGACTCCCCTCCCCCCCAAAAAACCCCAAATCCCATCACACTGGCTTAAAAATCATGCAATTTTTTGAAATAAAAAATGTTGACTTTTTTTGGATTTGCCTCTGTCTTCCAAGCCATTAGGGGACTTCACATGTTCAGCTTTCCTTCACAACCATGAAGGTTACGAAGTGAAAAAGCAGAGATTCTCATGCGGTCACTTGACTCCAGTGGTTGGCGCTTTAAGGAAAAACAGCTGCCCCAGAAGAGACCGTGCTACTCGCGGTAAAATCGTGAGTCGGCAACAGTGATCCCAATAACATTGCAAGAGCTGACAACGCTGTGAAGGAGGCTGGACTCTGAATGGGCTGTCCGAGGAGGAGGCCTTGTAATGAAGGTTAGCCTTGTACTCAGCAAGGTTTGAACGTTTTCAGCGAAACCCAGTCCCCGGAGAAGAATCCAGTAGAACTGGATGACATTTTTCAGGTGAAACTGTTTTTTTGGTGAAAAATTTAGATTTGGTAACACTGAAATTTTTGTGAATTCTGGTTGGTTTGGCCAAATTGGAGAAACAAAACAAAAGTCTGCAGAAACTCTGTGTGTTTTGTTTTGACATTTTTTAAATGTTTTGATTTTTTCACTTCAAAGTGACTTTGTTGCAAGATTTCCTTTAGTTTTGCGTTTTTAAATCAGAACTATTTAAAAATAGTCTAAAATGAAACATTTCAGCTGAGCCAAAACCTATTTAAGCCCCAGAAATGCAAGAAAACGGAACAGGCCCTTATTCCCACGACTCTTACCATGTCTGGGAAGAAAGCACTGGCTTCCTTGTCGATTACCGTGAAGAGCTGGGGGAGGTCGATGATGTCTTTCTCGCTCAGGCCCAGCTCCCGTTTCAGGATGTCTCTGTTCCAGTCGATGCAGCTCTGGGGTGGAAGGACAAGATCTCAAAACTGTTCCTGCTACAGGCAGCCCTGAGAGGAGCAGACTGGAGAGGCAGCGTTTTTGCTGACAGTTCAGTAAGAGATGACGTGGGATGGAAGTAAATTGGGAATCGAAATGGAGAAAGAACCTCGCCTGGAGGGACGGTTGTGGCGGCATGTGAAACCCAAAACCCAGCCATGAACCCAACTCTCCTTGCTAGGGCCTCATATCAGATCTGAGATAAATCGAGGCAGTCTTCCCTGGCTACTTCACTGGTTCTCCGGCTCCACCGTGAATCTGGACACACTCGGCGCTTCCCATGCTCTCTCTCCCCTGTCCCGAGGGTTGCAGTGCAGTAGCCTTGACCTGCTCATTGTCAAACACAGCCATTTCTGCTACTTTGGCCACAAAGCCACCTCCTCTTCCCTTCAGAAATGACCCATTTTTTACTCAGTACTTCATCCCCTTGGAGCTAGATCATGCCCCGTTGTGAGTAAAAACGGGACAGTCTGAGTGCAAGAATCTCAAAGAAGTCAGATTTTCTTAGCAGTGGCAAAATCCCATTTTCACTGTGGCTGCGTGTATTTTGAGCAGCCCCCTTACAGCAGCCTCTCTAGGCCACATCTCCAGTCTGCCACGAACTGCTTCCAACCAGGCATTTTCAGTAAGGTTCTCACATGCAACAGTGATCGGTTCTTACACCGGCACCTAGCTGGACAGAAGGGTCAATCGGGTTACCGGAGTCCTGCATCCAATATTGCTGAGTTATTGCTCTGTCTCCTGTCCCTACCTGAACATAGTCGTTCTCCCTCCTCAGGTTTTCATTGGCCAGAATCTCATCTATTGTTGTTGTGGTGACTGTCTCTAACTCTGCAAGAAGAAAGAAATTTAACAGATGAATGAAAATTCATGCGCTAAGCAGGGATGTACATGTAACCCACGTGCATCTGTAGATAGATCTAAGAGCCTCGTATCAGCTGGTCAGAAAATGGTTTCTTTTTCTCAGGGGAAGTTGTGACAAAGTGTCATTTATGTCAAAATTTTTGACGTGGAAAATTTGAATACCAAAAAATTAAAACTCAAAAAATATATGCTGCTGTCCTGCCTCATGGTGGTTGTAATTCAGGTGCCTCAAACTCTCATTCTCCTCAACTGATTAGGTACCTTGGAAGGACTACATGTCCCATGATGCACTACGGTCTCCCCTCTTGGAGAGGGGAGGCAGTGCATCATGGGAACCCCTGGCCATGGTGTAGCCTGGGAGATGTAGTTTATTCCAGGAGCCTAGTCTAAGAGAAGATTTGGACATGAGGCACCACACAGCACAACCAAATAGAAATTTTACCTTTGTCTGGGGGCATGGGGGGGAATGAAAAAATCAAAGTTTTCCGTGGATAAACTTTTTCCTCAACAAAATTTCTTGTAATTGACGACTTTCTGTTAAAACAGTTTTGACAGGAAGTTTTTGAGCAGCTCTTTGCTGAGCTGTCCTGTGCCTGTAGAACAGCTTGTTGAGGCAGGTCTGTTCACCACAGGCGGAAACTTCCGGATGGTTTGTTCTAATGTGTGAAGTGGTGCGGGAGAGGAAATAAAGCCGAGCTATCCTACCTTCAAACAGCCTAGCTTCTCCATAGCCCTCTTCCTGCTTCTCTCTGAAGAGCTTGTAACAGGCACTGAGGCTGGCTAAGAGCAGCCGGAAACCCTGTCAAGAGACAAACCAGTTCAGTGACAGATCTTTGCCATTCACTCACATTGCACATACAGACCCTCTGCCCAGGGGGTTCAGTCTACAAGGAGCAGTTGCAATAGTCTGGATCAACAGGTGTGGCACCCACGCTCCTTACACTCTCCCTGGAGTGAGGTAAATTCATCTCGGAAAAGAGGGATCTTGCAGAGGAGAGTTCCACGTGTTTTTACCTCCCTAAAATGTACAGGTGTCTAGAAAGCACATGGCAGTGCTGGAGCAGACGTGTGCTCTGGGGCCTTGAGGATGGAACTGGAATTCAGGAACTTCAAACTGGACACTGACTTCTTCTTTGGCATGTGAGTAAGTTACAGTTTATGCCTCAGTTTTCTTACTGGTAAGAGTATTTGCCTGCGTAGTTCACAAGCTGTTGTGAGGCTTCAGCACATCGTCAGCCAGATCCTCAGCTAGTGTAAATCAACAGAGCTCCACTGAGTTCAGCCTGATCTTCTCCAAGGCTTTATAACCACCACCCCTAGCCCCCAAGCAGCCTCTCACACCCCTTCCCCCTGAGTGCTTGTTCAAGGGGAGGGTGAAGCAGAGGCTAAGTCCTTGTTTGCTGGGGCCCAGCTGGGCCCCTGTGTTCACACACGCACTGTGCACGTGGACACGTTCTGAATCATGAGGCCGTTGATAGCACCATGTCGATGTTGTTACCATCCCAGACACGGTTATGCCTGGTTTGGTGCTAGACACGTTCTAGGGAAACTCGGTCTCATGGAAAAGAAGAGCCAGCCGGTCTGAGACGTCTCGCCCAGCACGCGGCACCTGCCTGCCCGGGGCTAGCCCCAGACGTCTCGCCGAGCGCGCGGTGCCCGCCTGCCCGGGGCCGGCCCCAGACGTCTTCCCCCAGCGAGCGGTACCTGTCTGCCCGGAGCTGGGACAAAGCTGAGGAATTCATCGACGTGACCCACACACAACCAGTCGACGTAGAGCTCCACGGGGGGCTGCACTTTCTGGGCATAGAGGAAGTCCCTGACGGCCTTTGTCATCCTCCTGCCACCAACCCTAGAGGCCAAAGGGAAGCAAGAGAAGAGCCAGACACATTCTTCAGTTAAGAACAGAATCGGGACGCAAGGTGGACAGGGCCAAATTAAGGCATAAATGTCACAGGCTCGTGGCTAGGCCCCCCACCTCCCCGGGAAGTCAGATGAAAGTAAGTTTCTAAGCTCTCACGGCTGCAGAGGAAAGCTTGAAAACATGAGGCGAGTGTAACTCATGCAGGGACGTCTGCCTGAGTTTGCCGAGAACCTGAAACGACTGCTCTGAGAAGAACAGCCCCGTGCATCTCAGTGAGGAGCTAACTCCATGACCGGCTGATCTGGGGGCCCCGCCCAGCCAACGACCCTGAGTGTGGCAAGAGGAGAAGAGTGCAGCAGTTCTGGCCTAGTCACATACCCAACAGCTCCTGGGGTAAGTACTGGGGTGGGGCGGGGGAGGTAGTTAGGAGAGGGTTACTCTTTCCCTGCCTCTGCGGGAGGGCAGGGCAGGCCACCCTCACTCCAAGCAGGGAGCAACACCATGAAATGGAGATGGGATACGGGCCCCCTTGTCATGGGGTGCCTGTGACCCCAGATTCCCTTCATCTAGTACTAAAGGCCGATAAACTCTAGATCAGTGGTAGGTGTGTCATTGCTAACCTGACCGCCCCATGCAAACTGTAAACACTACTTCGTGGTTTACATAATACATTGCCAGGAAGCTGAGGCCAACAACTCGAATCATCCTGAAATCGTCTCAGCTGCACCTTGTCTAATGTGTGCCTAGAATCCGCCTCCATTAGGCCAGGGTTCCTGGTGATGCTGCTTTACTTCCCTGCTTCCGCCGAGGGCTTGCAGCCTGTCTTTTCATTAGCGATGTCTGTGCAGCGGCCAGCACGAGACTTAATCTCTAGGTGTGCCTAATCTTGCCTTAGCGCAGGGGGGTGGACTAGATGACCTCAGAGGTCCCTTTCAGCCCCGCATGTCTATGGTTCTACCATGGTTGTATGCAGTGTTGTTGTAGTCGTGTTGGTCTCCGGCTATTAGAGCGACAAGGCGGGTGAAGTAATGTCTTTGATCTCTTCCTCAAGCTCTGTGTATGGTCGATTGGGCCCTCCAGGTTCTCCCAGCACATCCTCCTCACCTCAGCAGAAAGTGCTGCCCCTGTGTATGGCCGAAAGCGTCTCTCTCTCACTGGGGAACCCACCAGGACCCTTGGTAAAGTGTTCTCATGGTTAATGACGCTCACTGTTAAAAACTTATCCCTCATTTCCAGTCTGAATGTCTGTGGCAGCCCCAGCACCTGCGTTGCAAGGACACACACAAAACCCCTAGGCCAAATATGGAGCAAATATGTTTTTTAAGTGATCCGCCATCTCAATGTGGCCGGATCATAGACTTGTGTCACGGTAGAAGCCTGGACATAATTATTGCTTGACCACACTCTGATTAGCTCATCAGATGCTTCTGGGTAGCTTTATTGGATACTAGTTGCCGGACATTAGGCATCAAATAAGGGATGTCCGTTAAAAGGTAGACCCAGTGGTTAAAATACTTGGACATCCCTGTGGTGCATGGCATGCCATGAGGTACTTCTGTCAGCTTTTTGGGGCAGAGACCAGCTTTTTGTTCGCTGTTTGTACAGCACCTAGCACATTGGGATCCTGGCCCAAGACTGGGGCTCCTGCATCCTACCACAATGCAAATAATAAATTATAATCCTGATTAGTAGGTGCTCCACCAGTGTAAGACAGTTCTGTGATGAATTAAGCCAAGGACTGCAGCAGTAGGCCTGGAGGAATTCGCTAGTTCCTGCCGCCGACTGTCTGCATATGAACGAGCAATTCAGTCGTTAAATATCCGTCTTGCGGTGGGATGGGAGTAGGTTGTACCCCTTTCTCTGTGTGTCTATATCCAGAGCTGCCACTTTCCCTACTGCCGTGTTTCCCTTCATCCTCTGCTCCCCTGGCACTGCTATTCCACTGGTGCACCTGGAAAGCTGTAGCACTTGTGGCAACAAGACAAAGTTACAACTACTCCTATTGAGCTCAGCTGGGAGAAGATGCTGGCCTGGTCCCCCTAGGCGCATGCGGTCCCGAACCACACTCATGCCTCTCACCTGGGGAAGCTGCTGCCAATGAGGATCCTCCCCAGGGGATACTCCTTCCTTCTGACAGTCACTGGAGGGCTGACTTCCAGGTTCCCAAAAGAGTCGAGGCCGGAGACCGTTTCATTATAAGGTTCTCGGGTCACGTAGCCAAAATCGGGGCCCTTCCAGGGAACAAGAGGACAATGAAATTGAGAGCAGTGAATTGCGTAACTCAGACAAGGTGAGGCCCAGGCCTTAAATGGGTATGCGGCACAAAATACATTGCACCCTGCTGCGACTGAAGCAGTTAAAGTCGCAGCCTCATGGGGCTGGTGTTGGTGCTAAAAGCTCTGTCTGGAGTGGCCAAATAAAGAGGCACCATGGTCCAGTGGACTGGGTACAGCATGGCAAGTCAAACTTACATTATTCTATTCCCAGCTCTGCCACCAACTCCCTGTAAGACCTTGGTTGAGCCACTTTGTCTCTGGGCCTCAGTTTCCCAATATGTAAAATGAAGGCATGCTCCCCTCACCCTTTGCAAACGACTTGAGGTCTGTGGATGGAAAACCCTACAGAGGCCTACGCTTAGTATTTTGAATACAAGTTAACAGGACTGCACATGTGGCTGTGAAGAACAGAATCTGAGTCCGTCCTACAGCCCTCCAAGGAGTCAGAATTCCATCGCAGGGGCACGGACCTGGACGGAAACGAGATTTTCTATTTCACCAAAAATAACACACTTCAACACTTTCTGCTAAACAAAATGACCCCAAAAAGTTTGTTTCGGGTCGATCAAAACATTTTGATAAAATCCCCAACATTTCATGTTGATTTTGACCTTTAACTTTAAACAAAAATTATACACCTCTACCCCGATAGAACACTGTCCTCGGGAGCCAAAAAATCTTACCGCATTATAGGTGAAACCGCATAATATCGAACTTGCTGTGATCCGCTGGAGTGCGCAGCCCCGCCCCCCGGAGCACTGCTTTACCGCGTTGTATCCGAATTAGTGTTATATAGGGGCAGAGGCGTATTTAAAAAAAAAAAAATGAATTTAGTCTTGGAAAGTTCTTTCAAAATGAAAAATCGAAATGTTCCATTCTGAAAAACACTCCATTCCATTTTTTAAATGAAATCTAGTCAAAATCGATGCATTTTTCAAAATGTCTCAGTAGCTCGAAAAATGCATTTCCTGTCCACAAAACCCAAAGCCTTTCAACACAAACTTTCCAACGAGTTGGTGTTAAATTGAGTGCTGGCACCGCTAGACAGCGTCACGTACCAAGATGCTCTTAAAAGGGAAGTCCTGCAGCTCTCGGTCCCTGGGCGAGTCGAAGACCACCGGAAACGTTTTATGGGGAGCCTGCACGTAGCCAAACTCCATCTCGTCCTGTTAGAGGGGACAAAGAGAATGGCAAATAAACAGCCAGCCAATACGGGGCTTGAACCAGAACCTGCAGAATTGATTGCTGTCGATTTGGATGGGCTTTGGATCAAGCCCACGTGGGATTGCTGTTGTTCCACTGCCGAACAGACCCTTTTGCGGCAGCTTAGAGACCAGGCATGTTCTTCGCTTCGTCCCAGTGTGTTCTTGGAGCTTCCTCTTTAGAGTGTTCACTCCACTCCTCCAGCTTTGAACCTCTCTGGTTTCATCCAGGGACGCTTGTGATGCAGCAGGATGTGTCCGCGCTTTATGACCTGCTTCCCCCACTGCTCTGCACTGAGTGACTGACAGCCGTGTCACAAGGGCACGAAACGCCACCCGGCAGCCGTCAATGACTCCGCCAGGCAGCAGAGACGCAGGGCCCGTGCATTTGGCTTTCCCGCTCCCGGCAGTCTGACCTGGATCCAGCGGTCGTTCCGGTTCTCCACCTCCGGGCAGATGGTCAGCTTGCAGCGGGCTTTCCTGGCGAGTTCGCTCACGGCTTCCACAAAGTCGGCGTTGTCGCTTACGCTGGGAATGAAACGGGGGAGGAGAGTGAGGCCTAAACTAGGGGACAGACACACACTCTCCCGCCACCCCAAAGAAAGCCCGTCACTGGGGAGATCCCAGAAGGCCCAGGTCAAACAACAGTGGGGAATGGATTGGGCGACCGTTATTTATCCAACAGGGGATTTAGTACGTTAACGAGGCGCTAATCGGCTTGGTGCCTGAGAGTAGCCGAGCCCCTTTTCTGGGTCTCAAGAGGGAATTTTTCACCCATCAGTCTCACGGCCACCACTTGGGGCTTTTGGCCCAGGTGTTCTTGCCCTCCCATGGCACAAGGGCGTGTTGACGGAAACGGTCCAAGCGATTCCAGGCATGACAGGACCAGGGACAGTTGTAAGGTCTCCACAGTCTGACTTCCCCACGCACCCAAAGAGACCCATCCTAATATGGGCTGGGTCCCGAGTAGAGGTCTTTGGGGGCAGCCTCTTCCAACCTGGCTTGCTCTTAAATCCCAGTTAGGCCCTGGGGGCTTGATCCAAAGCCCATCGAAGTCAACGGGGCTACGCACGTGTTTGATGTTACGCATGTGCTGAAGGGCTGCGCTGGACCGGGGGCAGAGGGCTCAGCACCTTGCAGGATCAAGCCCCTGGGTAGAAAACGACAGCTCGGCCCATTTCCCCATGGCAACTGACCCATCCGGGCCTTACCTGCAGACAAAGACCTCCAGAGGCCGCTGAGTGTTGGGGGTCATTATCCAGGGAGCCATGTGGAAAACCACCGTGTCTGTGAAAATCGGGTTCTCGGGAAGATTCTACGGGGGGAAAAAAACCAAGGGGTGATTGACGGATCTTAGTCCAACTTCGAAGTCCTCTTTGGAGGGCAAAGTGACGCCTTTTATCCGTCCCTTTGCTGTGCCCATGCATTTTGGCCCTTTTCCCACTGTCATTCAAGCCTCTCACGTGGACATTCAGCGCCTCTGCCCAGAGGAAGGGGAGGCTCAGGCCTGGCTCAAATGGCAGGAGACCTCGATTTAGTTGCTATCCAAAAGCAGTTTCCTCCTGTTAAGTGTTTAGCATCAAAACCCTGGGCTCAGCTGGGGTAGCCCCTCATCCAGCCAGGACATTTTTGCCTTCCCCTACCAGTGTTATGGCCCCCAGCATGGGTCAAACCAACGACCTTTGCTGCTAAAGCCTGCTATCACTTCAGCTAAAGAAGCAACTCCGTTAGTTGGCGGCAGTTGTAGGTAGTTATCCCCTAGTGAACTGGGTACTAGTTGTGGCCATGGCACACACTCTTTGCCAGCGTGTTTCGTTAGTACCGAGGAGGTTGGCACAGAGATCTCCATAGCAACAGTTACGGACCAAGCTGCCCACTGGGAGAGCATACCACTCATTTACCCCGTTGGGCTTTGGAGACGGCGGCCGGCCCTGCTGGTTTTAGGGGCGGTGGGATGGGCTATTCCGATGCTGTTCAGTTTCGATTCCCTCTCCCCAAGCCCTCCAACAAGCCTGTCTAGAAGCAGCTTTTCCTTTGGACGACCCACCAGAGACATCAATTCTGCAAAGGCTAATCCTGCAGGCTAGCAGCCAGCGGCCTGGCACCAGCTGCAGGACTCCAAAGCTGAACCGTTCCATGATTGAAACACCCAGCTCAGGAGCCCTTCAGTCCCCATGCCTGGATCTCCTACACCCACGCTGTGCGGTGCTCTGGCCTCCTCCAGTGATGGTCATGCCACGTGCAGTGGCTGACAGGCCTACCTCAGCCATGGCTGAACCTTCGTAGAGATTCAGGCTTTAAGATCCAGCGGGCCGAGGCTCAGCCCTTGCTGCTGCTGCGCCCCCGAGGGGTGTGGTGGACAGGCAGCACTCCCGCTAGAGAAGCCGCTCTGCGGCGCTTTTGTTCTCTCCAGCCCAGATAGGCGCAGGCCAAGTGAGCCCAGCGGCTTATTGTACCTCAACCGGGGCATCCAGCAGCGTGACGTGGAAGGCAATCAGCCCTGAGAAGTCAGCGTCCGGGAAGGCCAAACCCTCCACATAGAAGGTGTCCTCTTCTTGTCCGCTGGGACGGTCCACTACGTAGGAGAGCTCATCTGACCCCAGCACGTGCTCGTACTGGTGGAGAACGTCATCGCCTACGAATGTAGAGGAGTTTACTGACATGTCGGGGGAACCACACTGAGCACAATGGAGCGAGCAGAGGTAGCACGGCTGTTTCCAGCTCCTGGGGATCAAGCTTCCAGACGTGACAGGAAGTGCATTGTTGGACGGTTGGACTAGACCTTGTGTAGGGCCTTGTCTACATGGAGAATTAGCCCCAGCAGTGTAGCTGCACCGGTGGAAACCCCTCATGGAGACAGGCGAAGCCATGATTTGCACCAGTGGACCGAATTCCTCGCGCAGGCGTTAAATCCACCAGTGTAAATTGCAGCCTACACTGGTGCAAATACACCAATGCTAGCAACTGGGGCCAGTTTTCATGATAGAAAAGGCCAGAGGGATTAGACTTAAAGTCTGATGACTTCAATCACATGAGAGGTGCTTTACCGGCCTGGAAGCGGTCTTGCTGGCTCCGCATCAGCCTCTAGTTGGGACTGGAATTTACAAGAGGAAAGGCCGGTGGTTAGAGGTGATGTTACCCAAAGGCCTGAAAACAGCTTCGTAATCTTTTAGAGCTAGACAGAGAGCACCCAGTCAATGGTAGCCTTGGGATTTCAGGGGTGAACCAGCCCCATCAGCTGCCCAATGTATTGGGTTGGATGAGTAGTTTTCCGGTGATGGGTTTGAGAACTGAACATAGAGTGCTGGGTCACGTTATTGAATCTGCTCCTGGACTGGATAACTGAAACAGGAGCCTAGCTCATGACAAACAGTGGGCCGTGCATTTCAGCTCTGAATTCATGACACTTTCAGGATGGGTGAAGCATTTCAAAGCCCCCCAGGAGTCACTGAATGTTCACAATGAATAGTCTGACCCTACAAACAGCAGCAGGACAGATTGGAGGGGTTTATTCACCATTGATTTCCCAACCTGCTGTCTCCCCCCCCCCCCCCTAATTCAGCAAGACCCCAGGGGCAGCCCCAGTTTTGATCATTTTATCCATTTACACAGCCCGGGGTGCTGACGATATTTAAGAGGCATCACCCAAACTGAGCTGGGCCATCTCCTTTTAACTCCCCAGCTCAGTTTGGGGCTGACCAGGAAGGAGACAGAGCTCTACCTCCCCCCTCTCCCCCCATGGTGAGGGAAGCCTGGTTAGAGCCAGGAGCCTGGGACAGCTTGTGGACAGGACGACTGGACCCAGGGAGTCCGGTTTGAACACAGGCCCTAAACAGAAAGGTCGGGTGCCAAAGCCTCATCGGCCAACCCTATGTTGACTTCTTGCTTTTCTCTTACTTTGGGGACTTGTATAAGTAGGGGCATTGGCAGCAGATCGAGGGACGTGATCATTCCCCTCTATTGGACATTGGTGAGGCCTCATCTGGGGTACTGTGTCCAGTTTGGGGCCCCACACTCCAAGGAGGATGTGGAAAAATTGGGAAGAGTCCAGCGGAGGGTAACAAAAATGATTAGGGGGCTGGAGCACATGACTTATGAGGAGAGGCTGAGGGAACTGGGATTGTTCAGTCTGCAGAAGAGAAGAATGAGGGGGGATTTGATAGCTGCTTTCAACTACCTGAAAGGGGGTTCCAAAGAGGATGGATCTAGACTGTTCTCAGTGGTACCTGATGACAGAACAAGGAGTAATGGTCTCAAGTTGCAGTGGGGGAGGTTTAGGTTGGATATTAGGAAAAACTTTTTCCCTAGGAGGGTGGTGAAGCACTGGAATGGGTTACCTAGGGAGGTGGTGGAATCTCCATCCTTAGAGGTTTTTAAGGCCCGGCTTGACAAAGCCCTGGCTGGGATGATTTAGTTGGGATTAGGTCCTGCTTTGAGCAGGGGGTTGGACTAGATGACCTCCTGAGGTCCCTTCCAACCCTGAGATTCTATGACTTCAGTACCTAGGTCCTGACACCACCCCTACTAGTGTGCCAGATGCCCCACAACTGAGGCAAGTGCCGCAGGTGATTCAGCTGCCAAGTCTCTATGTGTACCTAGAAGGGGCGGGACTCAAGCCTTCCTTAGCCAGCGGGCTAAAGCACCACTGCATCAGACCCTACAAGAGGGGGTGACCGACACTTGGCGATCCCACGGCAGGGCCACAAAGGGGCTTTGCGCAGACAAGTCCTGGCAAAGGATCCTACCAGTCAGTTCTGGTTTGGAATTCATTTGACCTCCACTCGGCTCCGTAATCCAGCTTGGAAAGGTTCGATTTTTATGGGTAAGTGTCGATTTCAGCGTACACATGCAAACCAACCACTAAATATTTTCACCGACAATAATTGAAATTTACAGATTGGCAAAGTGAGAAAAATGCTGCGTAAGACCCTATTAGCGTCAAACTCCAGTGATTTAGGGTTTTGAATTAGGCTTGTTACAAATGCACTAGCGAACAGATACTAAAAACAGGTCCGAGGTGTTGATTCAAGGGTATTTGCCGTACTTTCTATATTGTGACTTGTGATGTTGAATGGTTTATGAAGCTTTAGCTCCAAGTCTCAGCATCTGCTGTCACTAAGTCATTGTTTGATAACCCCCCCACCACCACCACAATTCCCAGCAACTGTGAAAATATTATTGGTCGAAATTATAAAAATCAGATTCTGCCAAGCCTAGGCGTAAGGCACTGAGCTCCACACCCAGCAGCCTCAAGCACCGAACACAATCTCCTTCTCTCAAACCCTCCCCATCCTTGCGGAGTTTTTAAGTCTGAGGCAGGTCAGTTACCTCAAACTCTCCCACAAGCCGTGTCGTTCTTTGCCTGGAGCCCAGTGCCGCTTAGAAAGGGGTGAAATTCTCTCTCTCTCTGCCTTTGAAAACCATCAAAGGAATTGCTTCCACTCTGATCCTGCCAGCCAGCCGCCCCGCTCATCCATGTACCTGAAGATCACTAAGACTGAATTCCCCCTGTGCATCTGATGTTTCCTCCTCACCGACCCCCAGGAGCCCCACGGGACTCTCTGGATTTTCACTTCCCAGACTGGAAGAGAAGCAGGAGCAGTCGGTCTCCAGGTGCATTGCCCCTTCCCTAGAACACAGCACCTCCGTCCTTCCCCAGCAACTAGGTTTTAACATCCTTTAGGAGAGCCAAGCAGACACTCTGCATTTACCTGCTGCCCCACTTCTGGAACTGGTCTCAGTAACTTACTAGGGCAATACTCTCCTTTTCTCACTGCATCAGTAGCTGATATCACATCTTCACTTCCACTCCCCTAACCCCAGTGCACTAAACACTTATCATTCAGATCTTCCCCAAGTTAAGATACTGTTCCGTAAAACAATCACCCCCTGTGATGAATCACCTGAGCAGTAGCAGGTCGGCAGAGGGCATGTGGTGGATCTACTGGGAGCAGGTCAGCAGCGGGCAGTGTGCTGGGTTTAGTGGGAGCAGGTCACCAGGGGGAATGTAGTGGATCGTGGGAACATGTCAACAGGGGCAGGTGTTGGATCTGGTGGAAGTGGGTCTCTTCTTCCAGCTGGGGAAGACCCTGGCAGGAGGGCACTTCGATGTTGGGAAGGGTGGGGCGCCGAGTGGCCCTGGAAGGAGGGTGGTGTTGGGGGCAGTTGGCAGAGCACACATGGGAGGCCCCCAGGTATGAAGGCACATAGAGACTTGGTAGCTGAATCACCTGCGGCACTTGCCTCAGCTGTGGGGCATCTGGCACACTAGCATGGGTGGTGTCAGGACAAAGGCTGGCCCGGCAGCACTGCAGACACCCATAACGGGCAGCAGTGACACTTGCTTACACTAGGATGTTGCACTAAAAGGATGTTAAGGTGGCACGGAGGAGTACTCAATAAAAAAAGCAGAGAAGTGCAACAGTTAAGGTCGACCAGATACCCTTAACTCTGTCCCCTTCTGTATCATCATTGTGATACAGTATAATTATGGCACTGCACTCTGGCCATGAGCCTCCAGTGCTGCTCAGGAGCGTCCTGGAGTGCAAAGAGGGGCTGTGAGTTCCCCCACTCCAGGGCTAGACCACTGTGTCTCAAACAATACAATAGAAAACCCCAACTGTGCAAACATCCAGGCACAAGTTAAAGCACCTGAATGGTCCCACTTGAGCCAATGGAAGTATTCACTCGCTTAGAGCTGAGCCTGAGAGTAATAGGGTGGTCTGCCTCTTTAAGGGCCGGGGCCCTGGGACCTCCCACCCCCAGCCCTGTTTGGGGATGGAGTCTTTTTCCAAACAGGGAGGGGGATGAGCAGACCCAGCTGGGAAGCGGGCAGGAGATTCCTTGTCCTGTCCAGGCCTGAGCACTGCTGGAGGGATGCCGACAGGCCCTGGAGTAGGAGGGAAGACACGGCGGAAAGCCACTGAAGCCTGCTTTGGCTGGGGGAATAGCTTTGTTTTGATATGCTGCGGGGTTTGTGCCTGAAGAATAAAACCATGCCCTGCAGGACGGCCCGGACCAGCTTTGGGGCCTGTCGTTGGTCTTCCCTGAGCTAGGGAGCCAGGCCAGCAGTGTGCCGTATGTGGAAGTGTTTGCGAGACCGGGGAGAAAGTGTGGAGGTAAATGGACATGGATGCAGAGAGCGGCCTTCCTGAGGGGAACAGCTAGAGAACAGCTAACCGAAGGGCAGATTTAGAACTCCCCTTTAAGTCAGTAGCAAAACTCCCACGTGCTTCACAGGGAGCAGGAGCAGGTCCTTGGATGGATTCAATATTCCAGCCAATTTTTACTACCTCCCTCTTCCGCTTGCTGTGTAGCAGGCTGATGAAGTGTTACCGCTCTCCAGAGTAGGTTATTGGGTCATGCAAGACTGCAGTGTAACGCAGCGGCACACAGGCAGAGAGAATTCTAGACCGGGGTCGGCAACCTTTCAGAAGTGGTGTGCCGAGTCTTCATTTATTCACTCTAATTTAAGGGTTTGTGTGCCAGTCATACATTTTAACGTTTTTAGAAGGTCTCGTTCTATAAGTGGTTTGAGCATTGGCCTGCTAAACCCAGGGTTGTGAGTTCAATCCTTGAGGGGGCCACTTAGGGATCTGGGGCAAAATCAGTACTTGGTCCTGCTAGTGAAGGCAGAGGGCTGGACTCTATGACCTTTCAGGGTCCCTTCCAGTTCTAGGAGATAGGTATATCTCCATATATTATTATTATTAAAAATTAAATTAAAATGCAGAGACCCCCGGACCGGTGGCCAGGACCTGGGCAGTGGGAGTGCCATAGGTTGCCTACCCCTGTTCTAGACACTCAGCATGTCTCGGCCCGGAGCTGTAATTCCAAGCCCGCAGCAGCCAGAAGGCCAGATACTCACCCCGAGCGTGGAAAACTCCCACTTTCTCTGCGTCTGATACGGAAATGTGAAGAACCAACTTGTGGTCATCAAAGATTGCATCGGGGCCTTGAGTTCTCAAGATCATACATGACATATCCCGAAGGTCTGAGGGTAAGAGGAGACCAAAAGAGAAAAGAGTGGGGCTTATTAAAGTCATCACGTCTCTGGAACCTAACGTTCAGCCACTGCCTATCAGCCTAGCCCCACCGATGTCACTGGATCTAAGCCAACGTACACCCACTGAGTATCTGGTCCATAGTGTATATGATCCCCCTTTAGAAACTCTACCTCTCAGGTGATGCTATGTCTGATAGGACCCTTGTATATATACACCGAGTGTATCAAAGAGGGATGGGGAAATCACTTCTTCTGGGCTGGTGCTAAAGGAGGAAATTGCAGCTCATTCTGAAGCTATGAGGTTAGAGCATTGGAACACAGGACCCCTGTGCTTTGCCCACCCCATCGGTTTTCGTTCCTTTTTTCAGGTGTGGGTTAGGGAAGGCTGTAAGCTCTATTGTCAAGCCAGGTGTCTCTTCTTTAGCGTTGGAGAGAGAGAGGTGACCCCCCAAAAATCAAAACTAGAAGTGGTTGGGTACCCAAGAGAGAGAAGAAGAGATATGCCCCCTTGGCTATTCCGTTCAACAGGGTTATTTTTAAGAGACTTGCGCCTTAAAGTCAGTAGCATCACAATGTAAAATAACCCCCCCTGGTTATCTTGAACATGCTCTTCTATAAGAGGCACCCAACATCTAGGCTTCCCTAGAAAGTAGACCAGCTATGGGTTGAAAATTGGCCTAAGCTCGAGCTGTCTCACTACACGACCAGTCACATGGCTCAGTTAGAGGGTTACACTTCTTACACAGCCACTTCACAAACATTTTTGCAGTTCTTATGATCTCAGCGAGATACCTTGGATGTGCCTGGAGCCGTGTTCGGAATAAGCAAGACCTCCTGATAAGCGGCGGTTACAGTGGACTACCTGGGCATTTTCCAGGGTACATGTTTAATAGCTCTACTGGTAGCAATTCACGGATGTGGGCCATGAAATTCCAGGCCTAGCTCTGATGAGTGGAGCCCATGACCACTCCTTGGGCTAGTGTCCAGTGTTCATACCCTCACTACTCCCTTTTATAGAGGTGTAGTTGCTTCTTAGGACTCAGCTAACATCTTGCATTCTGGCCTGGCCTGACCTGGCTGGAATTTCAAACATTCTGCATCATCTGATTAATGCCCATTCCAAAAGCAGTGCTCCATTCCCAGCCAGTACCTGCGTACGATCGCACACAGAAATCCATGTTGTCCATATCCGAGGACTTTGGGTCGTCCCTATCACAGTTCACTAGCAGGATAGCTCCTTGCCCATCTGGGCCCCACGTCCACTCTCTCTGCAGAGGCAGGACAAAGACAGGCTTGGTACGGAAACAATGAACAAGGCCAGAGAGCTGGAACCCAATTCTTTTCACTACCAGAGTAATAAAAGCCGAGAGGACAGGCATGTGACATAGGGGCTAGCACAACAGGAAGCAGCTATGGAAACTGTTTCCCTCCCAGCTGTTCTCCATGTTATCCAGTCCCAACTCAGAAATATATGAACTTCACACACATACACTGTTGTAAGGCAAGCGCTGAGGTTTGAGCATAGGACTGGGAGCCAGGGTCCTCCTGATACAGCTGGGTGGAGGACTGTCTTCCCATCCCAGGAAAATTTCTGAGAGATCAACAATGTTTGTGTCAATTGAAACACTTCAATCATTTAGAAACATTTTGGTTATTCCTTTTACTAGAATTAGCTTAAATTTCTACATGAAACCCAGAAAACGAATATTTTTCCATCTTGGAAATGTCAAAACCAAATGTTAACAAATCTCCAAACTTTTCAGACTTTTTTCCAAGGCAAAAAAATTGTCAAAACTGACCCTTTCCTGTGAAAAGTTTGTTTTGATGAACTGACATTTTCCAACAACACCAACAAAAAAGCACTTGGGGCTTGTCTACACAGGGACACTCAGGAAAATTTAATCCAAATTAACTAAAGGTGTGAATTTTAAAATCGATTAGTTAAATGCATTAAACCCCTTTGTAGAACCTCTTATCCCTAATTAATTCAGTTTTGTTTAATTAACTTCCAAAGTGAATTAATAAATTGAATTAAGGCCACTTTAATTCTGAATGAGCGTGTTCACACAGGGGTTTAATGTCATTTAACTAATCCACTTAAACTTCACACCTTTAATTAATTCAGATTAATTTTCCTGAGCCTCCCCATGTAGACAAACCCCTAAATAACACTGTTGTGGCTTCTTTAATGCTCCCTGCAGGTCACCAGCTGGTGCTCTAGGCTGCAGCCCACAGTACTAGATAAACCATGATCCATAGCATGTCTCCTTTACACTTGATACTTTGCTGGGGAGCTCTGGGATGTTCAGCTCAGAATTTACTCAGCCTACTGGTCTCCCTTATTGGGTACAAAGATGCATCATACTTACCTTATCTGTTGTTTTCCTCTTCACCGCCCCACTGCGAGTTGTATCAGCATCCAGGGAGATGTCTGCAATGGCACAGGAGAAGGAGACAACCCATCAGGCTGGAAGGCACTGAGAACCAATGAACTGGACTTGACCATGTTCTAGCCAGGCTTGGGATCTTCAGTACCAAAAGCAGAGACGGAGGGGGATCCTTCGGTGGGTATGTGTCATTATAGGCTTCTTTAAAAGTGGACAACCCCCATAGCCACAGGGCAAAACAAGGCCTGGACTGAACACAGCTCAATGGGGAGAGGTGTGAGTGACAAGGGAACCGGTCTATGTTAAAGCATGGGGCTCAGATTAGCTAGCCTGTCCCTATAAGCAGGGCTGCTTAAAAATTTCCATCAAAACTGTCTTTGACTAAATAAAAGTATTCACGAAAAGCATTTGCTTTCCACCGAACATTTTGATTTTTTCGTTGAAAAACAGAACACCCAAAAACTGAAACATTTCCAATCTGTGGGAATGCTGCCATGGTGCCTTATGGGAGTTGTAGTCCAAGTGCCTCTTATCCCCATTATCCCTTGTGGTCCAGGCTCCTGGCTGGACTACATCTCCCAGGATGCACCATTGCCAGCGACAGCCATAATGCACCAGCCCCCTCCCCAAGGGGGACACAGTGGTGCTTCCTGGGAGATGTAGTTTAACCAGAGATCCTAGCCTACAGAAGAGAATGAGAGCATGAGGCACCCAAACTATAACTCCCATGAGTCACTGTTGCAGCATTTCCAAATGGAAATATTTTGGCTTTTGAATTTCCACGGAAAAATTGAAATTTCTGTGCCCCACTTCCACCCTCCCCTACTCATATTTTTGCCAGTGTACCCAGAAACCAGCATAGAAAACGTGTCCTCCCACCCTCCTACCCAGTGAAGGGAGTGGTACTTTGGGGCTGAGTTCATTGAACAGATGGATTCTTAGGTTCTACTTACCAACACAGGTAAGGTAGAGCATGGCTCTGTGTACAGGAGTCCCCCCATCTTGCCCATAGTATGAAATCCTAACCTGCAAAGACACCACAATCAGCACTACCACTTTCAGGACACCATCGCCTGTAGCGAAGCTAAGAGTAAAACAGATACAGCCTGGGGACAGAACGCTGCCACGGATGAGACCAGAGTGTGAGTCTTGCACATGGTCTTCCACTTTCTACGCTGGGAGCAACTGGGAGTGCTTTGCAGATGACTCCTTCATTAAAATTCACTATTTTAAGACAGAGAGGATGGTCAGGTGGCTTGGGACCTGGACCGGGACTCAGGAGGTCTGGGCTCAATTCGTGGCTCCGTGCCATCAGGCAGTCCCTTATTCTCTCTGTCCCTGTTCCCCATCTGTGAAATGAGGATTATACTTCCTTTAGCCCACTGCCTGTCTTCTCCATTTAGACCAGTGGTTTTCAACCTGTGGTCCGCAGACCCCTAGGGGTCGGCAGATGATGTCTAAGATTTCCAAAGGGGTCTGCACCTCCATTCAAAATTTTTGAGGGGTCTGCAAATGGAAAAAAAATCTTGAAAACCACTAATTGAGGCAGCTCTGGTGGGCAGGGACAGTCTCTCACTGTGTTCGTACAGCACCTCGCACAAGGCAGCCTGTCGGTGCTACTGTAATACAAATACTAATGCAGATTAGAGTCGTGTTGCTCCCTTGTGGAAATGCACAACAGGATAATGAGGCTAAATAATAAACAACCCATCAGCATGTAAGACCAAAGCAACAGGTCCAGGCTGCTGAAATGAAGCGGTTTTACAACTGGGCTGTTCTCTCGGTCAGTGAAGTGACGAAAGACCCGTACGGAAACGCATCGCCCAGGGATTCATGGGATACCCCGCTCAATCTAACGCCCAGGACATGGGCACCCTTAGCGAGCAGACATCTCACCAGCCAAGGCACAGTGTCTGCTGACCAACTTCAAACACCCTTTTGCCTTGTCCAAGTCCCAAGTAACAGCTCTTTGCTCCTGTGCTAGTGGAAGTTTGACATTGTGTTTTCCAAGGATGCATTTCCCCCTCCATGACAAACTCACCTTGTTATCATTGACAGCATTGCTTGGTGCCTTCATAGTCACCACCACCTCCACCCCGGCATCCAGGGGCCATCTGGGCACACACGTCGGTACCTTGGCAACCTGAGGGTTGTGGACAATATAGACGTCAACACCAGGGGTGCCACGGACATCGAACGACGTGGCGTCCTTCGGGGCTGATCTGAGGCAGAGGATGACATTCGGTTACCGTCGCAGCTGGAAATCCCGTCCGCTCCTGACTTCAGCTCCGTGAAGACGCTACGGAGCCAGACAACTACACTGTGGTCATGTGACCGCTCCTGTTCTAAGGCGAGGGAATTCCGCGGTAAAGGCAAAGACTGGGGGTGCAGTAGGTGGCACCCACGGAAGCTTCTGCTGTAAACTGCAGGAGTCCGTACTCCATGATGCAGGAGACATGCTGTAGGTAGGCAGTTTTTATTCAGTATTTTGGTGTGGGCAAGTACAGCTGAGATCTGGTGTCAAAAGCTGCACAAAGGAACCTGATTACAGCAGCAGTTCTCAACCAGGGGTACACGTACCCTTGGGGGTACGCAGAGATCTTCCAGGGGTGCAACTCATCTAGATATTTGCCTAGTTTTACAACAGGCTACATAAAAAGCACCAGCGAAGTCAATGCAAACTAAAATTTCATATAGTGACTTGTTTATACTGCTCGATATACCATACACAGAAATGTCAGTGCAATATTTATATTCCAATTGATTTATTTTATAATTATATGGTTAAAAATGAGACAATAAGCAACTCTTCAGTAACAGTGTGCTGTGAGACTTTTGTCTTTTGATGTCTGATTTTGTCAGCAAGTCGTTTTTAAGTGAAGTGAAACATGGGGGTGCACAAGACAAATCGGACTCCTGAAAGGGGTACAGTCGTCTGGAAAGGTTGAGAGCCACTGCTTTACAGTGCACAAGTAGTCTTACTGGTCCTACAAAACCCAGGGACTACGCTACATATCCATGAGCGCCATTAACTATGTACACATATTCACTCATGTAATATTTCCCCAATTTAGATCAAGTTTTTGACCCACAATTGGGGCGTGGGGGGAGTGGGTGGTAGGGACAACCAGTTCATTTACACCCGAAGAAAAATACTTAGAGACTTTACCAATCATCTCTGTGACAGACATGGCAATTTCCTGCAATAGTCTTGGGAAACCTTACTGAATTAAGTTTGTGTGTTTGGGGCCCATTGTATTAAATGTATTTTTCCATGTGGTTTATGTATTATTGTGGGTTGGGATTGTATGGAGCCTCTCCCTGGGAAGCAGAGGGGGCTTGAACCCCGGGAAGTGTTATGAACTTCAAAGGACTGTAATGAACAACGTGCCAGACAAGAATGGGCTTTGGGGACAAATAATGTCAAGTGGAATCTCTACGGGGAGTTGAATGCAAATTCCCACCTCTGGTTATGCAAAGACCCCGCCTTTGGAAGTTGTGTCCTGAGAAGGAGATCGCTGTCTGGTGATTGCCTGTCCTTGGAATCTCAAGGTCAAAGGCCCATGCGGTATAAAGGAAAGATTAACGCTATGTCTGCACGGCTTCATTTACAGCAGCGCCAGCTGCACCGATGTCATGCTTCTGGTGAAGACACTCTAAGCCGACGGGAGAGAGCTCTTCCATTGGCTTACTAACGCCTGCCTTCACGAGAGGCGGTAGCTACGTCTGCGGGAGAAGCTCTCCAACTGCCATGGCACTGTCTACACGGACGCTTAGTCAGTGTAACTTGCGTCGCTCAGGAGCATCGATTATTCACACCCCTGAGCAATGTAAGTTGCACCAAAGTGATTTGTAGTGTGGACGTAGCCTGAGCTATTCATGGTGGTGTTAATTCTGAGCTAAGGCTGTTATGTAACCACACCATGGGGTGGAGTTTGAAGGACTGCCTCCTACCAGAGCCCCTGCCGGAGTTGGGGGGTGATCTCTGGTAGGCTTATTAGCACACGTGCAGGATCTTTATTATTTTAATATGTTTTCTCTGTAATGCTTTTACCTTAAGAATGAAGATGCTTGCTTAGGAAGGACTGTGTGGTAACTTGAGACTGCTGGTAGTTACATTGTTCCTAGCCTTCTAAGAGAAAGCAAAGTGCAGACGCTGGCCCGTTTAAGCAATCTGGCTTGCTGGGGATATCACAGTATAGGCAGGGAATTCTGCAGCCTGGAAAAACCCCAATCAGGAGGAAGAGAGACACTGGTCTCTGCCCAAGAAAGATGATGGCTGAGGAGCCAGGAGTGGGTGCCCTCGAGGGACCTCAGGGGGGGAACAGAGGTGCAGTTGCCTTAACTTGTGACAACTTTGTTCCCCATTTCTCTGGGTACAGTTGTGGCAGCTTGTAGGAATAGACGTTGGTAATACCACATTGGAGAGTGGTAATAAATCTGCCTATAAAGGAAGGCATCGGGTTTGTGGTTGGAATTAGCAATGCTTTCTTATGCTCTGTAAATGCCTTATTCCATGTGGTGGTTTCCTGAACAAGGTTAGAGGACTGGAGGTGTGCAGGGGTGCATATAGGAATACGTGGGTCTTTATCAATCTAAGGGATTTCTATGGCTGACATTGCTGTAGTATCTGAGCATCTCAGACGTTAATGTACAGCTGTGGAACTGAGGCACAGAGAGATGAAGGGTCTCAGAGACACTGAGGCTTAAGTGATTTAGGAGCCTAAGTCTCATTAAAAATCACCAGGACCTAGGAGTAAAGCTGGGAGAGATATCTCTGACAAATAGTTATTTGAGGAAAAATTAAGATTTGGTCAACTGGAAAGTGTTGACAAATTTGACATGACTAGCTTGAGCCATTCACAAAGTGGCCAGACGAGGAGGAGGCGGTAGCGGTGGTAGAAGGCCGCTCAGTGGTCTTAGCTCAGTGGTGAGGGCCCTCACCTAGGATGTGGGAGACCCACGTTCCAAATCCCTGCTCTGGAACAAGCCTGCAATGAACTTTTTCAATTCAAGGAAAAATCTGAAACCTTTCAGATGCAGTTCGACTCAAACCATTTTTTTTCAGAACTGCCAACGCACCGAAAATCAGTTATTTGCCCAGCTCTGCATCAGAGTCTAAGTGACATGAGCACTTTTAAAATGATCCCCTAAGTGACTTGCCTATGATTACACAGGAAGTCTGTGGCAGAGAAAGGAATTGAACCTGGGATCAGAAAAAGCTTGCTGCATCTTTCACAGGTCTAGATCATAGAATTGGAAGGAACCTCGAGAGGTCATCTAGTCCAGTCCCCTGCACTCATGGTAGGACTAAGTATTATCTAGACCATCCCTGACAGGTGTTTGTCCAACCTGCTCTTAAAAATCTCCAATGATGGTGATTCCACAACATCCCTAGGCAATTTATTCCAGTGGTTAACTACCCTGGCAGGAAGTTTTTCCTAATGTCCAACCTAAACCTCCCTTGCTGCAATTTAAGCCCATTGCTTCTTGTCCTGTCCTCAGAGGTTAACAAGAACAATTTTTCTCCCTCCTCCTTGTAACAACCTTCTATGTACTTGAAAACTATTATCATGTCCCCTCTCAGTCTTCTCTTCTCCAGACTAAACAAACCCAGTTTTTTCAATCTTCCCTCACAGGTCATGTTTTCTAGACCTTTAATCATTTTTGTTGCTCTTCTCTGGACTTTCTCCAATTTGTCCACATCTTTCCTGAAATGTGGCATCCAGAACTGGACACAATACTCCAGTTGAGGCTTAATCAGGGCAGAGTAGAGCGGAAGAATTACTTCTCGTGTCTTGCTTACAACACTCCTGCTAATACATCCCAGAATGATGTTTGCTTTTTTTGCAACAGTGTTACACTGTTGACTCATATTTAGCTTGTGAGCCACTATGACCCCAGATCCCTTTCCGCAGGACTCCTTCCTAGGCAGTCATTTCCCATTGTGTATGTTTGCAACTGATTGGTCCTTCCTAAGTGGAGTACTTTGCATTTGTCCTTAGTGAATTTCATCCTATTTACTTCAGACCATTTCTCCAGTTTGTCCAGATCATTTTGAATTTTAATCCTGTCCTCCAAAGCACTTGCAACCCCTCCCACCTTCGTATCATCCACAAACTTTATAAGTGTATTCTCTATGCCACTCTCTAAATCATTGATGAAAATATTGAACAGAACTGGACCCAGAACCGATCCCTGCGGGACCCCCCTCATTACGCCCTTCCAGCATGACTGTGAACTACTGATAACTACTCTCTGGGAACGGTTTCCCAACCAGTTATGCACCCACCTTATAGTAGCGCCATCTAAGTTGTATTTTCCTAAGTTTATGAGAAGGTCACGTGAGACAGTATCAAAAGCTTTACTAAAGTCAAGATATACCATATCTACTACTTCCCCTCATCCACAAGGTTTGTTATCCTGTCAAAGAAAGCTATTAGGTTGGGTGTGACACCATTTCTTCTTGACAAATCCATGCTGACTATTATTTATCACCTTATTATCTTCTCGGTGTTTGCAAATTGATTGCTTAATTATTTGCTCCATTATCTTTCCGGGTACTGAAGTTAAGCTGACTGGTCTGTAATTCCCCGGGTTGTCCTTATTCCCTTTTTTATAGATGGGCACTAGATTTGCCCTTTTCCAGTCCTCTGGAGTCCCTCCTGTCTTCCATGGCTTTTCAAAGATCATCACTAATGGCTCAGCTATCTCCTCAGTCGGCTCCTTGAGTATTCTAGGATGTATTTCATCAGGCCCTGGTGACTTGAAGACGTGCCATAAAGCAGAGCCCTTCTGGTTGACCGGAGACAATCCGGTCCATGTGGAAAGGGACAGCTATGCATTCAATTCAATCATTCAGATACATGTTTTCAACCCCCTTCCTAACCAGTGACAGCGGAATGGCCCCTTGGAGCCATCAGTGGCAGAGGACACCTGTCACAGTTGGGAGCCCTAGCTTGTCATTCAGAATCTACCTTTCCTGTTAACTCCCATGAGTCACGGTCTTAGCACGGTCTCCATGCTTAGGGTGAAGAGCCTTCCTGTGGCAGCCATGCAAACCTCTTTGAGAGAAAACATTAGTCACACCTGGCCAGAAGCTGACCCAGGAAACAAACTGTTTCCAAACAGGTGGAGTTAAGATTTCCTGCTAATCAATAAAGCAGAGAGAACAAGCTTCTCCCAGCCCTCCTCCACGGATGGAAGAACCTGCCTGCTTGCT